TGGAAAGGATGTTTCTGCTTTTAGATCTATAGCGGTGCTTTCGGTTCTGGCGAAGGTATTTGAAACCATATTGAACTTCCGCATTAGCAAACAGTTAGATAACATTTTGCATGACAGTCAACATGGGTTTCGGAAAAATCGCTCAACGAATACTAACCTGATAGCACACGTTGACTATGTATGTACAGAGATGGATTTTAGAAGACAGGTAGATGCCGCATATTTCGACTTTAGGAAAGCTTTTGATCTGGTGAGTAATGACATACTGTTACAGAAGCTAGCTAAGTTGGGTTTTACTCCGAAGCTTCTTCAATTTTTTGCTAGCTATTTGGATAATCGTCGTCAATTCGTTAGAGTAAGTGGTTACGAATCCGCTTATTATTTTACTAGATCTGGTGTGAGTCAAGGTAGTACTCTTGGCCCTACGCTATTCTTAAGTTTTATAAATGACTTGCCTACCAAAGTTAAATCTGCGAAGTGCCTGTTATTCGCAGATGATCTGAAATTAAGCTTGGGAATTGGCAGTGCTGCTGATGCACAGGCTCTTCAACAGGACATAGATAGGGTATCGGAATGGAGTAAGGTGAAACATCTTCCTCTTAATGAGACTAAATGCAAGGTTATTTGATATGTATTGCGGGTGCGTGCTGCTCACCCGCAATACATATCAAATATAAGCAGCCAGTAATAAACTAGCCTCGCTACTAAACGGTTGTTTCCTTTGTTTAATACATCTCACTGGCGACGAGTTTTGTACATACCTACGCGTAAAAAAATATGTCGTATTTAGGTAATTTGCCTGTTTTCAATCACAAAACTAGTGGTCAATATTTTATGAGAAATTAACACAGTTCCTAAGGATAAATAATGTGACAAAAGAAGAAATTAAGAGTGGTATCCTGCTTACTCATCTCACCGATGAAGCCTACCGCTAGAAGCCGAACCGACAAGAAGTCCAGGAAAATCACTGGGAGACTGGGCGGCGCGATTAAGAGGACTAGCAAGCTATTGCGAATTCGGCGACGCCCTGGAAACGAATCTGAGAGATCGTTTTGTCCTAGGCCTGGGCTCTGGCCCGGAACACGACAAGCTGTTCGAGCAGAACCCGACAACACTTACGCTAACTAAGGCGATTGAAATAGGGGAACAAGCTGCTTGCGCAAGAGAGGTAAAGGTGATGCTGAATACGAGCGATTTTGGGCTCATCAAGGAAGAGCCTATGTATCGTGCAAAATCATCAGTTCGCTCGGGGAAGCGGAGGTGAGGGCAGTGGCAATGACAGTGTCGGCGCTAGGACATCGCGACGCGAAACTGGCTCCTGTTCAGTTTGTGGTATGAAAAATCATTACAGTGATAAATGCCGGTACAAAAGCTATAAGTGTCAAAAGTGCGGTATAAAAGGGCGTTTAAAGAAAGTTTGTGCTAAAAATAAAAATAACTCGTGTGCTTATCACATTCAATCAGAACAGGAATGCGGCGCTAATGAGGTCAAGGACACAGGTTGCATAGAATGCCAGAACTTTAACTTAAGGTACGTTGATGATAAACCAATTGAAATAAATTTAATTTTGGGCAATCACAACTTAACAATGGAACTAAATTCAGACACGAGCAGCTGTGTAATTTCTGAAAAATTGTATGCTGAAAAGTTTTCCGATTATTATTTAAATAACAGTAATATAAAAATGTGTCTGTATAATGGGCATAAAATCTCTCCACTTGGATATTTCTGGGTTGAAGCTTTTATAATAAAGTTAAACACAAAATAAAAATTTATGTTGTTAAAAATGGGGGCCCTCCCCTGGTGGGTAGAGATTTTATGTCCGCGTTTAATTTAATTATAACATTCACTTCACGACTCCATACAATCCAAATTCAAACTCACCCATAGAACGTTTTCATTCCACCATTGGAGAGATTATCAGAATCCAACGAATGACAAACAAAGAGGACCCCATACAATTAATCATGAAATTTTCAGTCATTGCTTATAATAACTCAATCCACTCAGCAACAGAATATACTCCACACGAGTTACTATTTGGACATACAGCTTCTAGAAATCAACTAGAGTTACATTATCCTGAGCAATTTTACCAGGACTATGTTATCAAGCACCAAATGCATGCAGAAGCTGTTCAGGAGTGTATGTCAGCGCACATGGCCAAAAACAAGGAACAGGTAATAGCAAAGCGAAACCAGGCAGCAGAGGAAATAACATTCAAGGAAGGTGAAACAGTTTATAAGCAGGTGGCCAAAACAGCGAGAAATGACAAAATTAAACCGGTATTTAAAGAGCCCTATAAGATTATTCACTTACATCCTAATAATGTAGCAGAGATAGTAGGAAATCATCCTAATTCTAAGTCCATTCGGGTACATTTCAAACTTCTACGAAGACCCCATCTTGTTCCAGGACAACCATCTTCGGAGCCTTGGAACATGTCCAGGCAAGATCCGACATAACATTTCAACCCGTAGACAATACGAACGGAGTTCTATAACTTAGACAAGATCATATTCTGAAACAAACTAATTCCTTCAACCTTGCTTGTGTGTATAATGTTACCCACTTGAATCTAGTATCGATAAAATTAATGGAATTATACGCAAGTGCTAAGGCAATTGAAATTAACACCACGTCGGAAGAATTACACAAAACATATAGGGACCAGATAGAACATAAGTTAGATTTAATTAGTAAGAAATTAATTTTTATTGCACTTAGTATTAGATTTAGACGCGGTATTATAAATGGACTAGGTTCCATAGTGAAATTAATAACTGGTAATTTAGATAACGAAGATGATATTCGATTTGAAAATGAAATCAACAAAATTCGTAATTCGGTCCATAAAACCCAAAGCTCACATAAGCGAACGCTATCTTTGGCTGAAAATACCATAAAGGAATTTTCGAAACAACTAAGCAAGATAGATGATAATCAAAAAAGATTAACATCTATACTGAAAAACATTACAATTAATTCCGATACAGTAAGAAACCAGCTGCACTTTTTAGAGATATACGTTCAAATAAGTTTTAGTTTACAGATTATTTTAGATAAGTTAATGCTGCTCGAAGATGCTATGGCATTCGCGCAATTAGGTATAATGCACCCTAGTATTATAAGCACACGTAATTTAATTTCGGAACTTAGTAATTTGCAGAATAACTTTTCACTATATCCAGTCGAGGAGATTAGTATTGAAAATATTCATAAGACAGAAAAGTCTATTAGCTTGAAAGTCTATAGCACAGAACATTCTTTAACATTTATATTAGAAATCCTATCCATCCAACCTACATTATATGATTATATACATATATATTCCTTGCCAAATAACCTAAACCTAACCATTATACCCAAATCCAAATTCCTCTCACTTGGAAGCGATGAGTACGCCTACCTGGAAGAAGATTGCAAGAAGCTATCAGAAGACACCTGGCTCTGCAAATCACTGGATACTAGAGCCATAGAGAAATCTGAAGATTGCATCATCTCACTCATCAAGCATAAAGATGGTAACTGCACTCGGGCACGTATGAATCTGAAGCGAGGAAAATTGCAGAAGATTAAAGAAAATAAGTGGTTGGTAGTATCAACGGAACCAGAAATTATAAAAACCCAATGCGGACAGAAAACAGTGACTGTCAAGTTAATATCATGAATACAACGATAAGAACACACACTAGCAGCGTCTCTATGGACGAAGTCATCACTTTACCCAACGAGAACTTAATACACCAGGAAGAAGTCCAGTACGAGATACATCTGGAAGACATCTCACTAGATAGTGTCCATGATCTTATGAACAAGGTTGAAGATATTCAAGAAATAGAAGCCTGGAACTGGTCATATATGATGGCAATTCCCAGCTGGTCTACAGTGCTCCTATACATACTAGCAGCATCTGTTGTAATCTGGAAGATATACAATTGGAACAAGCGTCCAAGCAAAGCAAGTCGCGAGGACGCTCCTGGAAGCTGCAAAACCAGCTTCCAACTTAAGGAGAGAAGAGTTAACGTGTCGTAACCCTGGAATCGGGCTGACATAGCAGTTGAACATAACAATGAACATATGTGGAACGCTTGCGCTGCGAAAAGTATCATCGTGGAAACAATGCAACTATCTCGCAGTCTGACACCATCCACGCATAACTTAACTTCTTTTATAAATTTACAATCTGTTTGAATTAATTATTTTGTTAATTTTATGAAATTAAATTAATTATATTTTTTAAAAAGTCTTTCGATCGCCGCCATATCGTAACTCTCGTTACCACCAAAAAGTGTCTCCGGCTCTCTATACTAACCACACGAAACACAGCGGCAATGCTGCTGCTATTTCCCGTCGGTGTTCTGCGAGAACGTGGTGCTTTCCCGAGTTGACCCATTCGTGCTACAGAATGGCTCTACCTCGTATGACTATATATTATATCTGGGTTCGCACGGGTGATTTCTGGATCTTGACTACAGAACCACCTAACGGATACAATTATGTATCTAAACTATTCCCACACACTCATAAACACGAAAAAACTCATCGAAATCGGTTCGTATTTCTGTAACAAACCCACGTACAGAAGAATTATGTTATATATTAAAGATAATAAAAAAACGAGTGTGCTTAATTTAAATTTATTATGGGCTACCTTCCGTAATTTGTTATTATACACCCGAAAATTTACCTTTTTTATATTATTATTTTTTATATTATTTAACTTTAAAATTAATTTACAATTTTTATTCACTTTAAACATAGAATAATTAATGTTCGAACAAAATATTAATTCATAAAATTGTTCAAAACGAAAGAAAATAACTGACTATGAGAGAAAGTGAGAACGAAAATGTGTGCGCGCACTGCTCTCTCTTGCTTATATCCCTTTACACTTTTTGTAACGCTTTCGTCACGCGTTCGCCAGCTTACTCTCCAAGTCAAGCGTGCGTAAAGAAGTTTTACTTCAAACATACAAAGTTTGCGAATATATACTCACAGCTCTCCAGGTGCCGTCAGCCACGAACGCGGCGAGGTTCAGTTCGCGTCGTCTTCTGCCGCGAACTATTAGCTTCAGTTTACCCTCGCGAATCATCAGCGCCATGTAATGCTTTGGTTTAGTTTTCGAACCCTAAAATTGTGAACGTGTGTGTTAAAATTCATATAAATAGCATCACGTCTGTAATCCCAGAAGGACTGCAGTTACACTTTTTGGGGAGGAGGTAATTTGTTAATCACTTTAGCAGTGGTTATTTCTGATGGTTTTAAATAACGATCATAATGTTAAATGTAGATAAAACCAGGTATATATATAATAAAAAAGGACCCAGAGATTCTGTTGGTCTCTTTCTCCTAAAAACCTTTGAGCGTCGATGGTAGAATTTGATACATATAAGCGTTTATATTAAATAAGGTGTTTTGACGGGAATGTTAATGGTGGCAGATTGTCGCTCTTGTATTATTGTTTAAATAATGGTTTGGAGTAAATTTTGATATGTAAATTGAAACGTTGATACGTAAAAGTGGTGCGATTTTATGTATTAAATGTCTGCACATGTAAACTGTTAGTGGAGACAATCATATAAGAGCTCCGATCGTAATGTGAATCTCAAAATAAGTTGTGATTTACTTAGACGTCTTGCTAATACTATCTCGTCTGCTGTCTCGAGCTGTCGGTAAAATATATCAAAACATTCGCTATGTGATGCACCAAAATATTGTTACGAAGTTTTGGAACAAATAATTATAAAAGATATTTTCTTAATTCATTTGACACCGGCAAAATAACAAGCGTATTTTGGATTTGTATTATACCACCTTCCACATCTCGCTGTTTCATCTATTTCCTAGTCCATTCATTGTTTTCCACCGTGCCTTATCTACTCTACTGTTTTCAGTTTCTCCTTCAATTCTTTATCCACTGTCATCTAAATTCCCTCATCTAATTCCACTTTCATAGCGCACCCCGCCCGCACGCACTAACCGGCAGCAACAGCAGCAGGCCGTCGTGCGCGAAGGTGCGGAAGTGCAACGCCAGCATCAGCTCGCGCTTCGACGGCAGCTTGAGCGTGGCGTGGCTGCCCGCCACGTCGCCGAACTTCACCGCGCCCGCCTCCACCGTGTACGACGATGTCTGTTCGTTGATTTGAATATTTATACAAATAGGAAGACTAACCAGCACACAATCCATAGTATAAATAAATATTTTTTTCGATGTAAGATTTTTTTATGGAATAAGGGTGACAAATGAGCACACAGTCCACCTGATTGTAAGTGAATGCTAAAAACATAAACATAAACACTCACGCCTGTCACCCAGAGGGGTAGGCAGAGACTACGGACTTCCATTTGGCACGATCCTGACATACCTCGTTCGCCTCCTTTACATCCGTATATCTACGCATACATGCTCGTCGGTTAAGGGTACTTCTAACGTGGCCCCTTTTCAAAATATCGCCAATTTGGTCGATAAACTTTTTTCTAGGGCGTCCCTTCCCGACTCGGCCGTTCACATCTGCCATATAAATTTGCTTTGTCACTCTTTCCTCATTCATTCTTTCTACATGACCAAACCACCGAAGCATTCCTTTCTTAATCCTGGTCACAACATCATCTTGCATACCATATTATCTCTTATCACGCAATTTCTCACCCTGTCATTCAGATTCAACCCTAGCATACTCCTTAAAGACCGCATTTCTACTACTTTTATTCTACTTTCGTGCTTCTTCTGCCACACCCGGCTTTCAATACATCATTATGAATTACCATACGTGCCTTTTTTGACACATTCTGGTTCTTCATAATAGAGTTTAGTGCCCCATTCACTCTATTCCCTGCATTTACTCGTCGTTCTATATCCCTATCATATCTACCATCCCTGCTAAATACACATCCCAAATACACAAACTCATCCACTTGCTCAATTAACTCTCCTTCTATTCTTATTTCACATACCGTTTTGCTTTCCTCTCTTTTAAAAACCATCACTTTCGTCTTACTTGCGTTCACTTTCATTCTCCTTTATTTTAATTCCCAGTTCATTAATGTAACCATCATTTGCAACTCAGCCGCCGATGACGCAAATATGACTTGATCATCGGCATATAAAAGGCATTTGACGGTTAACTCGCCCATTCTTAACCCACATGCTTCATCTTTCAAAGTTTGCAAACACCTGTCCATAAATAGGTTGAACAGCCAAGGGGAAGCTACACAGCCCTGTCTGACACCTTTTTGGATGCCAAACCAGTCCGAGTAGACCCCATTGGACCTGACACAAGTTCCTATAAAGAGACCTTAATGCCTGTATCAAACCAGCGCTCAACCCATATGAGTTCAGTGTTTGCCATAACACATTCCTGTCCACTCTGTCATAAGCCTTTTCCAAGTCCATGAACGCACAAAAAAACTTTCTGGTTTTTGGCCAAAAACTTCTCCGCAATCATGCGCATGGAAAAGACTTGATCTGTACACCCCATTCCCTTTCTAAAACCCGCTTGCACATCTGCAGCGTGGCTCTGCCACTACTAGATTTAAATATGATTAATCAACCGGGATTAAGGCAGGAATTAAGGTATTTAAAGGTACTCTTGTGTGAAACCCTCGTGTAGAAATGTGTCCCTGAGAAATGTGATTTGGTAGATACCTTAGCGCAGCCGACTTGTTCGGGCTGTGTGTGCAGTGCGTGCGGCTCCACGGACTGTGCGCGCGGCTCGCTCTCCGCGCGGCCCAGCTGAGCGCCGCGCCAAGACACCGCGCTCTCTAGACCGATCAGTCTGCAATGCGGACACAAACCAATTGCATTTTTGTCGACGGTCTACGTATCGGACTAAACGTATTGCTTCGTAGTCGTAATGCGTTAAGCAAAGAAATGAAATTATTTGACAGTATCTCTCTTTATAAAAATCTCTTTAATTAAATTACAAGAATAAGGAGAGTTTTGCAATAATTGAAATTTTAGCCCGTTTATAGATTAGTAATTAAACTAAAAACGATCTCAGATTTTATAACCTTTGATGATGTTACTATTATCTATTTAAATAATTACACTATTAAATAAGGCCAAAAATAATAATATTAGAATTTTTGGATCATTTTGTAAATATTATTATTTAAATATATAACTATATGTTATTTAATTTATCAGTAATTGGAGGTAAAGTATATATACTATTCTTTGAAAAAGTAAAACGTAGATTGTCGGCGTAGTTTAAAATTATTTGACCGTTGCGTAATAATTTATAACTACGCTGACATTTTGAAAATATTAACTTTATTTATAAATATAGTATATGATATTTATTAACAGCAATCATATATAATAGAACATCTTAAAGAAGGAAAATCCTCTTTCTAAAGTTTCGTAATCAGATAAAAAGTGGCCTCGGATCCGGAAATCTGACTAGTAGTTTTGCGTAAATTGTTAATAGATTTCTTAAAGAAAATAAGAGAGAAATTCTTAAAACCACTAATTTGACTTCCCCTAAACCTGTTTATCAGATAATATTAGAATTACAGACATGATTTTTTACCACATTTATTATTATGTATTGATTTAATACATTTATATAATCCAAGCGATACTAAAATATAATATTTAATAGAATATATAATATTGCATTGAAATAATTTACATGAAATATTCCTAAACGGGTGTAAGTATTCAGAAATTTTGAATTAAAATAATTTATATAAGGAGTTACGCGCAAAATTGAGCGTAACTTGTGCGCAATGCATTAAGACCGCAGAGCCTATCTAGTACTATACACAGACGTCTTTGAATTTTTATACATAGAATAAAGGTTGTAAACGGGCACACAGTTCACCTTACGGTAAGTAGATGCTGTGACCCGTAAACATTTTGTCACGTTGTCATTCTTGAGGACTAAGATGGAATGCCTTGTTTCCAGTAAAAAAAGCTCTTCGGTTCTCTACATTCACAATACTACTAAGCTACTATTTTACTATAGTGTTCTGTGAGAGCGTGGTATAGATGCAGCGTGACTCTACCTCGTATAGAATAGATTGAAAAAATACTACGAAGTAAGCAAAATATCCATATAATAGCTTGGCTGGCGGTGTAAGAACATTTCCTACCCCATATCGTCCCGTGGATGTCGTAAGAGGCGACAGAGGGAAACTGAAACAGGAGATGGGCAGCAGCATCTTCCTGATGACAACGCAAAATTATATTTAAAAAGAACTGCGGTTGCTAACCCGTCAGCCAAGCGTGGCAACTATGGTGAAATTGCTTCCATGAGGCAATTTATGGGGGAGGCCTATGTTCAGCAGTGGACTATTACAGGTTGTGATGAAGTATGCAAACTAACAGTGGTAGAGCCACGCTGCAGCTATATTATGGTTGTAGCATGAATGGGTCGGATCGACCGTAAAATAACAACTTATAGTTGCTGTGTTTCGTATAGTGAGTGTGCGAAACCAAACACCCTTTTTACTGGAAACGAGTCATTCCATCTTAATCCTCAGGGGTGACAATGCACCTGCGTTTTGATTCTTAATCTAGGATAAATGTAGATGTGTATGGGCCACAGCATCCACTTACCATGAGGTGGAGTGTGTGTTCGTTTGTCACCCTTATTCTATAGAAAAAATACCGAGCTTTTTAATATAAAATGCATTAGTTTAGTAAACTATAAGACTCACTCAGAGTCGACGATGAAGTCGGCGACCGTGCCGGCGAGCCCAGTGGTGGGCAGTGCACTGGGCTTCCGTAGCGCGTGCGGCGCGCCGGCCAGGTACAGGCCACGCGCGCGCGCCGCCAGCCCACCGCCCGACAGCGCGCCCGCGCCCAACCGCCGCGCGTCCGCCCAGACCTCCACCTGCAATCGCATATAAGTTTTGGTGGTCGTGACAGTAAAAACTGCCGATTGAATTACCAAAATTGACACTTTAATTACAGAATACTAATTATAACTTATAATAATAACATCACTTTAAAAGAAGTATTTGCTTGCACGCCAATTCAATCCTGACTCGGGTTGCGGTCTATACCGGCCTTATATAGGGCCTTTTCTAATGAAACATCTAGAATGTTCCAGTACAAACCGGCCCGACTGACAGGTGTAGAAAGTTCTAGCATGGACATTTCTAGAAGAATCTTGACTCTCCTAGTTCTACTACTCGATACTAGAGGACGCTAGTGGTAACTAATGTCGCCATGTACCAGGCATTAATGTGGCTTATAACAATATGTACGGACCGTGTAGGGTGTAACAATATCCACTAACCCATATTATCCCTTGGATGTCATAAGACACGACAGAAGGAAACGAACCAGAAGATGGGCAGATCAGAAAGGCGCTGCTCTTTCTGATAACGACAAAATAAAAACTGCGAATGCCAACCCGCTTGCCAAGCGTGGGAACTATGGCAAAGATGCTTCGCCCCCTGTGAGGTAATCTATTAGGGAGGCCTATGTACAGCGATGGACCTTAATAGACTGTTATGGTATATTTACGTAGTAGAGCCACGCTTCAACTATATTATAGGTCAACTATTTGCGTTTATTAACGTTTGCACAAAATACTAGCGTGACACAGAAGCATAGAGCTGCTATGTTTCGTATGATGACGAGAATGGGAGGCCCTTTTCACTAATAATGAAGGACTCAATATTAGTCATCAGGGGTGACAACGCATTTTAATTCTTAGTCGAAGTGAATCTGTGTTAATTTACTCTAAAATAAACTCTATATGGGATAATGTTACCTGTTTATGAGCGCGTACGATCCGCACCGTGTGCGTTCTTCCATCATTGAACTTCGTACCATTGAAGCGCAGTCTGAGTTCGCCCTTACCAGCCGCCGCTATCACCTCCAGTTCTCCTGAAATAAATTATTTAGCATATTTCTTCCGATACTTCACGTTCAGGTTTTACATTTATATTTTATCAGTCCATGGCCCAAGCTGTTAGGTTTTTACATTAATTTATGTATCGAAAGAAGCAACTATGGGAAACCACAAAAATATCTCGTTAATGTCAAAGATAAAATATCTAGACAGGTGACAGGGAACAGTGTTAAATCCAGCAGTTGATTCTGGGCTAATGAAAAACAGGGGCGTTATAACAACTTTACATCTAAAAGGCGCTGTTAATTGACGGGTGAATTTCTGCAAACGATTAAAGTTGTGTGGATGTGCTGCTTTGCGTTAGTACGCATGTGTGCGTTTACATAAATTTCTTTGTTTATTTGGTCATGAACTCGTACTGTTGTGCTTTTGCCAGTGTCAAGCATTTAATAAATTATCCTTTATAATATTTTGTTTAACAACTTCTTCACAATGTATGTTTATGCGTCACATTGTTAAGTTTTTAAAAGATTTTGACGGCTGCTTGAGCCAGCAGACAGATGACGATAGCGTCTCAAGGCAACTAAGCAGACATATTATCTTGAGGTTCACACCACCATCGGAACACTTTTTTATTGTTTCCACTATTAGTTCACATGTGCAAACATTTAACACACAAAAGTGCACCACTTATATACATATATTTAAGTAAAATGATAAGTGATACCTTCTACCATCGCCAGCGCGAGGTAATGATCGTCGTCGGGATCCACATCATCATTGTCGTCGGTGTTGTCGGTGTGCGCGGGCGCGCGGCACAGCAGCAATGCGTTACCGGCACGACTTCGGAACGACAGGCCCAGTGCACTGCGCCGCCGCAGCGCCGGTGCCGCCAGCTCGATGTACCCCGCATCACTCACTATCGCCGACCGCAGCGTCTGCCAACATAACCCATCCTCTCATATTTTCTGTCATAGAATAAGCGTGACAAACGAGCACATACTCCACCTGATGATATCCAAGTGAATGCTATGGCCCATATACATACAGCACCTCCCTTTGTAAGAAGGATTTGCCTTAATCATAACTCTTATTGGATTCACGCAGTACTGATCGTCTCATTTAAAACTGCACACGTCTTTCTAGTAGTTTTGGTAGATATTGTCACGTAATAAGTATAATATTAAGATCTAAATCTGCACGCCCCTTCTTTGTTTTTTAGTAGATTTTAGCTTTTTGAATATATTTCCCAGGATAAAAGTGATCAAATCTATCTGAAGCCTTTTCCTCTTACAAAACCCACAAAAATCAGCGATGTATTCTCTTAAGCCACCACAAAACGACAGTGAGTGTAACAAATGTAGGACTCCTTTTGAAAAGATAGATAGATAGCTCGATGTACCCTCGAGGTGGCGAGAAGAAAATGAGCACAATAGTACAATTAGAAAAAAATAAAGAAAAAACTATTTTTTTACGTTAATATTATTGTAGTGTAATTATGTCTGAAAGAAGTGTCCTTTCAGCTCTATGATTTATATCTTAGGTTTAATTTAGTAAAAAATTACGGAAAAAATGTGTAAGACTGCGTACCCAATTAAGGCGTTAGTAAAAGAAAAAAGAAAAATAAAATGCCATGGTTTACAGCTGGCAAACGAAGTGTTTGGGAATACCTTATTTTTGTTTATCTAGAAGATATGTTTTGAATTTATTTTTAAACTTTGGTTGGTGTTAAGATTTGTTATTGGCGGTGGGATGTCAATCCAACACTTCGTTGTCATATATCGAATCGCCAGTAAATGCCGCTGTTTTATGACTGTAATATAAGAGTGCCGATTTTATGGACCTCAATTGTTTTCCAGAATTTTGCTTAGCAAACTATATCTTTGCATGCAAGTACTCTGGTTTCTTAAACTTAATAACACTAAAGACAAGTCGCCCTAAATGTAGCTCTCTACGTGAGTCCATATTGAGCATGGAAGCATTGTTCAGAAAGGGTGTAATATAATTTCTATGAGGTACATCAAAACAGAACCGACAACATGCATTTTGCACGCGTTGTATTAGTCGCTTTGTTTTGCTGAAAATCCGGGGTCCGTAAACAACATCCCCGTAGTTGAGTCTAGACAAAACCAATGACTCGCAAAGAGTAATGCGTCATGGTACAGAAAGTTGGTCGCGGATTTGGTATAAAACCTTTAAGCGATAAAAACAGTTTTTTACCATATTAAGGACATGATTTTCAAATCTGAGATTAGTGTCGAGGGTAATGCCAAGGTTTATGGCTTCATCCACGCGCATTATGTGTTTACCATGAATCTTAACGTCTAGGTCACCACAAATTCTATTTATTTGCGTCTTTGTGCCCATGACCATATATTTTAACTTTGAAGGGTTTAAAACAAGGGCATTTCTTTTTGACCAGTCAGCAATTCTGTCCAAGTTCTCATTAAACCGTGTGACAGCTTGTGGTAACTTATCTGGTGAGTCCGACACGTATATTTGCACATCATCAGCGTAGCAGTGGTACATAGAATATTTTATAACTTTGACAAGATCAGCGCAGTAAAGTATAAAAAGAAGTGGACCAGGTATTGAATCCTGAGGAACACCACGATTAATAAGCCTTGGGTGAGAACGTACTATAGACCCATCACTTTTTACCAATTTTACTGATTGGTACCGATTATTCAAGTAACTACTGAACCACTTGACCGAATTTTTGTCTAAACCAAATATGACAGTTTAACAAGCATCATAGGTGCTAATATTTAGGCAGTTGAAAGCGCCTGAATAGTCTAATAGCGTTAGAATCGTATTGTGTCCGGAATCTTGTTCAGGTAATACATTGCCTGTGATATCGAGTAAGGCAGTCGATGTGCCAAGTCCTTTGCGAAACCCAGATTGTACATGAGGCAAGATGTTGGTGGTTTCAACAAATTTTGACAACTATTCGCAAATAGCTTTCTCCAGCAGTTTCGCAAGGAATGGCAAAATGCTGATGGGCCTAAGATGTTTTAATTCGATCGGGTTTTCATTTTTGGGTATTGGGATCACTGTTGGCTCTTTCCACTTATCAGGAACTATACCTGTCATAATTGACTTATTAATTATAGCCGTGATTGTATCCAGAGTGCAAGGAAGAGAGAGTAATATCGTATCTCTGCTAATTCCATCGTGTCCAACAGCATTCGATTTTATGGACATTATATATTTAGAAATATCTGTTGATTCTACGGGAGCTAATTTAAATACCTCTGTATGTAATTTGTTATGTTCAAAAAATATTATATCTGCTTTGGAAACTACACTGTCTCCCGGAATATTCAAGAAATGATCATTAATTTTGTTTGGGTCATTAAAATAGGGAGGCAAGGATTTGTCTTTCGAGGTGGTTGACCCAAAATGTTTTTCTTAAAATTTTTCCAAAATGTTTTGCTATTTTTAGCTTGAGAATTAACTAAACTATTGAAGTAGGCCCGCTTTTCTCCCGAAATACTTGTTAACACTAGACTTTTGAGCTCCTTGTAATATTTTTTATGTTCGTCTGATCCGGATTTTCTTTAGACATCATGAGCCATATTACGCTCATCGATCATCATTTTACAGACATCGGTTACCCACGGCAGTGAATAATTTGACTTTAGAGTTATTGTTTTCAATGCTGCAAGCTAAATCAAAGAGAGAGAGAGAGAAAAGAGAGCATCATTGAATTAAATTTTTCCACCATCATATCCACTGAAGGTAACTCAATTACATCGTCCCAGTTGATTGCATATAAATCATTATTAAATTCATTTAGATTTATTTTATTAATTGGCCTGAAACTGAAAGTTCTAGTTGGTTTTTTAACCTTTTTTTAACCATAAGGTAACATTAACCATTGCGTGTTCATTGGAATCCATTATATTGTTGACAGTGAGATCACGAACTGGTGCATTCGTACAAACAAGATCTATCAGAGTCTCAGTATACGATGTGTAATGAGTCGCCTCACTAACAACCTGACGGAGGTTCATTTAATCAAGGAATTGAGTAAGTTTGACAGTACTACTATTACTTTCCACAAGCATGTTAATGTTAAAATCTCCCAACAAAACAATAAAATCATACTTTGAAAAATAATTAATGGAGTCTTAAAGCGTCAATAAATATATCTATATTGATCCATTGTGGTATGTACGCAGTCCCTATAGCAACACTATAACCATTGACCCGAGTCGATAACCACATCTGCTCAATTTGCACATCAGGCCTAATCAAATATCTCACGTTAACGTCGCGTTTAATATAAAAAGCAAGTCCCCCCCCCCCCGGCCACCGCACATATGTAGCGGGCGCGGAGTTACTCGGAGTCGATTGCCGGGCACGGCCGGCGCACGAGCCTCTTGCCCACTTTGGATCCATGATTCGTTAATCGCAACTATATCTGGACTATAACGGTCCGTAGCAATAAGAAAATGATCATGTCCTGTATTGAGTGATCCCGCATTATAAAGACCTAACTTAAATAGCTTTGACTGTGGTTTTATTATAACGTAAAAGAATAAAATAAATTATTGTTACAAGAACACCGCCCACTAAATGAGCAGGACGCAGGATAAGTGTAATAAGAATTTTTGAGATGGACATGTCATATTGTGCTGCATTTTTTCTCGATTTTGGTTAATTATTGTCACTGCAAGAACGCTCACACAACACCCGTATATTATTAACAAATAAGGCACATATATTAATACAAAGTTAAGATAAAAGGAAGTTGAAAATGTCATGAACTTCATCAACTAAGTTATACAAATCATTTAACAAAGTATATGTTACATTCCATTGCCTTTCATTCATATTTGATGATTTTAAAATGCTAAGATTATTATACAAAACTGATGAAAATGCATTGACTAAAATATTAAACCTATTAGAAAACAACCAGTAGAAGAAACAGCTAACAAGTAGCAAGTGGGTACTACATAAATGATATTGTTTAACAAATGGTATAAAAATGTCCCGAAAAACGCGGCTCAAGTCCCTCTCCGTACGAATACGCTGACGCGGGGACTCTGCTCCCTGGTGCCGGCGTGCGTATATCCTACCTTTCCTTGTCCATATGAAACGCCAGCCCAGTTTAGTTCCGAGTTCACGAGCTTGCCAAAAAAGTCGCCGGTTGACTTTCGTCAATCTCTCATTGACGTAGAATCGACGGTGCGGAGCCGGTAAACCGGTGCCTTCGGTAGTGATGCCGCGACGAACGCGAGTCGCCATCAACACTTGATCCTTAATAGCGCGTCTGCCGAGCTTCACAACTATAGGCCTCGAACGTGACTCCGGCACAGTTTCCGAGGACACATTTACCATTCCCACGCGTGTGGCGCTGATTAAATCATTCTCAGAAAGCTTGACACCCAACTTCACGGCCAAAGTGGTGACAATGTGTATTAAGTTTTCACCCTTCTCTTCAGGGATGCTAGTTATCTCTATATAATTACACAATAGTTCCTGATCACGCTCGTTCAAATCGCACTTAAGTTGCTCAATTGTATCCAGCAAAGAACCAACATCGGTCGACGTACTACTATTAGCATGACGATCTTCCAGAAGACCCACACGGGCTACTAGCTTTTCAATTTTTCTATCGGATTCATCAATTCTGAGCGCCAGAGCAGCCAAAGTACCATTCAGCAATTCCATTTGCAGACGTGTGGCTCTCATTTCTTCTTTGAATTGACGTACCTCCACTATAAGCAGTTGCAGATCTTTTGCTGGCATAGTTTCACTCTGCGCTCTGTTGTCGTCTAATAAGTCCTGAGGAGTCAGCGCTGCTGCACCTCTATTTCTATTGACCCCTTCTACGCCCACACGCACCGGGGTATCTGTGTTATCGGTTTTCGGCTGTTTACTACTACATACCACACATTTCCATTTAGCCCTTTGATCTTCCGCCATGCTATTAAATTGGCTTAATTTAATGTTTGCGCGTTGGAGGTCGTAGGGCTGTTGAAACCTACTGCATTGAAGATGTTTCTTTGCCACTATGTAAAATAATTATGTTTTTTTATGTTTTTGTATTTTATTGTAGGTTATGCAAACATTACTGTAGTTACTATGAATTCTAAATAGGTATTTACTTACCATAGCTAGTTAGCTATAATAGCCCACAGCCCACAGGCAACTCCCCGAAGTATATGCCAGCCAGTGTCAGGATAACTGCTTTTTCGACAGCGCGACTGATGTGAGTGGGGCTTTTATGTAGGTTAATTAAATAAATAAAAATGTTAGTTTGTAAATTGTTTATTGATTGTTTGTGTTCAATAGCGGTTTGCAATATTCTCTTAGTACTTAGAAAGTTATCAACAATAGGAATTGTGTCACTGCAGGGACAAGCACAAACGTCTATCAAAATAGTAACGTACCTAAACGGAATAGGACTAACAGCACAGACTTCCTTACAGAAGTCCAAAGAACACGTCTAGACAAGGTAAGTAATTAGAAGAAAACTACAATTTAGAGATCGATTGTAAATCATATTCACAGTACAGACACAATTAGCGAAATATAAATAAAATTTTGAATTATTTTATGATAGTATATAACGCTAGTTGATAACCAAAACACTGTATGGGAATGACATCACTGAACTAGTCAGGTGGTCGGTCCAAACAAATAAAATGCGCGATTGTAGAAAGAGATTCGTTACGAAACGTTTGTAGGCTAGAGGGCTTGGCCTGTTTATGCTATTGATAATGAAGGCTATAAAGTATGTATAAATTGGAAACTAAATCCTTTGTGTACTTATCTGTACTCATAACCCAATATCTGAGGTAGGTTGATGCGCTCCTTAATTTTTATATAGTTCGTATTATTCTGTAATAAATTAAATCTAAACCAAATATATATACTATAATACCATAGCAAAGCTACTACTATTTTATTTAGTAGTAGCTTATATAGTGGTATAGTAAATTATATATAAAAAATATGAGTATGTCCGAGGTAAGGTTAAATATAAACAAATATTTGCCAAGTGAGAATCCGACTTCCGAGCTTCCGTACCATGTTACAAGATTTAATATACATAGGTATTACTATCTATCAAAAAAAGCCAAAAATACACGTTTCTTTTTCTAGTAGGAAACCCTTTAATTTCAAATTTATTTTTACTATTTGCTGTTATAGCGGCAACAGAAATACACGTTCTGTGAAAATTACAACCATCTACCTATTACGGATCATGAGATACAGCCCGCTGGCAGACAGACACACGGACAGCGGAGGATTCGTAATAGGGTCCTGTTGGTTACCCTTCGGGTATGCAATCCTAAAAAGTACTTAGTTGTTCACTCACATCTGTATGGTTCTTTCTTCAAAGGACCATTAGCCACCTGCCTGGTTCTCGTATGACATGACCAATGTAATACCTGGACTGACCTCTCTGAGTTTGTTTCGGCAGATCGGGTGCTTCTTCTCATTTTCATGTTTTTGTTATGTTAAAGTGTTTTTTAATAAAACAACTTAGAAAACAAATTTTATTTATCATTGACTGCCCTTCTTAGATTCTTATGTACTTATATAAATTACATTAGGTATATTAGGATATGAGATTCCCATACGTAAGTACGATTATCGAAAATCTAAAAATTACCTATCCTAATTAAATTTATAGATAATTTTAAGATTTTCGACAATCGTGCTTATCAATGAGATGTTTTCGTTAGTTGGCAAATTAAAGTAGTTAGGTACCTAATGTACCACCTGTATCGAAAGTTCATTATTATGTATCTACCTGTTAATGATTTCTTAAATTTACGCGAACACTACACATTGAATAAAACTAAATTTACGGATTTTATCGCGTTTATTTCACTACTTTTACTTATTTTTAATTCCCGACGTTTCGGGTGCTTTACAGCAACCATGGTCACGGGGGGGACTGAGATGTTTTACGTCCCAATGTCATAGTTAGTCCGGCTACCTTCAGTTTTTGAATATTAATTTTTGGTCCGATTTACGCAAAACGAGCTTATAGTATCATGAAGTCTTGCAGTGGTATGCTTAGGTTTGGGTTTAATTTTGTTAATTATAGGATCCCAAGCAGGTGGCAGCACCCATCCATCTTCTCTATTGAAATTTGGATGTTTTTTAATTTCAATAGCCTCGCGTATCATCCTTGGTAGGAATCGGTGTTCTTTTGCGAGAATTTGTGGTTTATCAAATCGAATGTAATGGTGGGGACGATCTTGAACATGTTCGCGAAGATAGAGAAGATGGATGGATGCTGCCACCTGCTTGGGATCCTATAATTAACAAAATTAAACCCAAACCTAAGCATACCACTCTGCAAGACTTCATGATACTATTAGCTCGTTTTGCGTAAATCGGACCAAAAATTAATATTCAAAAACTGAAGGTAGCCGGACTAACTATGACATTGGGACGTCAAACATCTCAGTCCCCCCCGTGACCATGGTTGCTGTAAAGCACCCGAAACGTCGGGAATTAAAAATAAGTAAAAGTAGTGAAATAAACGCGATAAAATCCGTAAATTTAGTTTTATTCAATATCTACCTGTTTTCAATTTTAACTACATGTGCTTCAACAAACTTATGGGTACATTTTATCAGCTATATTCATCTCGGCTTCAGCAAGTAGACATGAACAAAAGGAAGCAATTTTTCTTAATAAAGATGTAAATATGTAAGTACATTGATTTATATATTACACTAGATCCGTAATAACCGCGCCAAAGCGTTGCCACTGCAAAAATGGCCACAGCCATATGCCTAGCTAACGTCAGTTCAGTGTTCAACGTGACGCCGACAGAGTTGAGCCGCGACAAAAAATGAGTAAATGCGTAGTGAAAAAATGCTATTCAAGGTCACAAAAACGTAATAAATCAAGCGCACGCACTTTCAACACATAGTTTATATATAATTCTTGTTTTCATATAAACGTAAAACACCTCAAATAATTGATAATTATCTGATGCAACGGGAGATTATATAATTAATGGGAGACTATATAATTAATGGAGTAAGTTAATTTGTTACCTCTGATTTTAAATATTTTGGAAATTATAATAAAAACTACGTTTTAACTTTCATACAAAATAATTAATTACTCTTATTTTAGTTTTATCATGAATTATCTATTAAATGTATTTTATTACTTACTTATTTCATAACAATAATTTTATATTAATTATATTTTATTACCTATTTTATATTGTTTGATTTATTAGTACAATAAAAATACTTACAAAAATATGTTTTATTTCATCATTATGTTTACTTCTATTCATCTGATAAGCTTTGTATCCTTTTTTTCTAAGGGGACGCAATAAAGATTTTAAATTAAAATATACTTTTTTTTTAATATAAAAACAATTAACTGCAGCTAAAAAAACTCATTGTTATTGCGTATTTTAGGTAAAATTTCATATAGTAAGCCACACCAACCCGCCATTGCGTGTTTGTGTGTCTATCTTTATCTAATCTTAGCGACGATATTGTTTTCGCAACTTGTGTAAGTGAGATAGATATATGTTTATTTAAAATTGCTATTAGTTTCAAAACTACGTCGTCGCGTTTGGTTAGTGGTTACACTTTTTTCGACGCGCGGTAATATGGTTTGGTCCTCTAGTGTTGTACAACCCAATGTGTAGGTATTACAACCAAAAATAGATAGCAGCGGCTAACCTAGTGAGCATGTGTGGGTGCGCGCTGCGCCCCCCTCCGTCCGTCCTTCTGATCGGGGAAATAATTTGTAGCGAAAGGCAAGATGATTTACAACAAAAAGGAGCGCGCGAAATTTTATAAACAGACCTTTGGGAGTCTGGATGTCATGAAAAATCTTTTGAATGTATCTGTTCAAAACAAAATTATTTTCATTTTTGAACAACTAATCTATCCATTTATGGTAACTATTTTGCAATTTTCGTTCTTCTTATGGTATTTATTTCCGCCCAAAGATGTGTTAAAAATAGTGTTGAAATTCGGAATTTTCGACACTTATAACTTTTACACATAATCTTTTTTTAATTTTTTGTTTCCATACAGGGCTAGATAATGATGAGACAAATTGAAATCATTTTTTATTTTGAACGGAAACCATCAAACAGTGGAGTAATCGCCAGACTACGTTTGTATGGAAGAACGAGTGACTAGTGTACCCTTAAAGCACAGAAACACAATTGTTGGAGTTATCTAACGTTTATTTCCGCACTATCTCTTGGAATTCTGAACTGTCACATACACAAATCGATAGATAATTTTGTAAGGATCACACCGATAAGTATATAGTTTACTGCATAAATACTGTTACTACTGTATGATATGATTTGTTGATTGACACGTGCGGTCGGTAACTCATTTAACTCGCCACTCTAAAAAAGCACCTTTTCTGCCTAAAAGTCCGTCTGGGTGGGTATCATCTTCTTACTCGCCACAGGGCTGTGCTGTTTTTTGGTCTAAAGGCTATAGAGAGCCAATATAGTTACAGGCTATGAGGCATTCCATCTTATTTCTCAGATATGACAACTTTAATACAACGTTTACATAATCCAGCTAATTAGAATTTTTAAAGATACTACAATCACAGGCAAATCAAAAAGCTTCAGTTTCAGTCCCCTTCTGGTATGGGTTTATTATTGCCACAGTAAAGAGAGGACTTGTCATACTTGAGATGTTTCGCGACAGAGACATGATTTGGGAGCTCTAATTTGTAGATTCTATTGAATATCGACCATCGAAAAAAATATTTTAAGTTACAAATATCCTATACTTTAATATTTATTAAATACATTTTCGTTTGCCTTTCACGTAAGGGAAAAAATGACATAATTCAATTATAAATTAAAAAGCTTCGATACAAGCCCCAATATCTCCAAAGTTTTACATCATTTTGACGTAAAATTTTTACCAAAATAATCATCAACATTTGCCTAAACTCTACCATAATTTTTACTTTTTAAATCGTTACTATTATTTTTTAATTAACTAAATAAAAGTACCATATATTCCACTGCGCCGGCCATCTGTGTGCAATAGAGTGCGAGTTCTCTAGTACATAGTCAGTAATCTATGGTGCGAGTGCTCGTCGAGGTCGGACTTGTATTAATTTATTTCGCGCGCTCCGTCTCGATATTACTGTAGTGGGCGTCGAAGGCGGTGGCTAGTGTTGCCAGGCGTCCGGATAAAGCGGGAAACAGTCAGGCTTTTTGGTTGCGTGTCCGGCCAAATTAGACGGTGTCTTGCTTTTGTTAGGCTTTTTAAAGAGACAATAGTTTTTGGATCACATGGATATTTTAACGTAACTTAACTATAAAAAGATACCAATTTACTATAGTAAACTGGCTAAAGATTTTATGAAAATCTAGCCGGTATCATGATAAATAATACAATTAAGAATTAATAGCTACATATAAATTACCGCAGTATGTTTATTCGTGAAATGTTTTTTCACCTAGTATTTAATATTCTGAAGAACCTACAACTTTCTTATACTTATTATTATTAACACAGCACTATTATAACATACTCGTAGAATATCGATAAAAACTACTCCACAGTCGCCACATATAAGTTTTAGAATATAATGAGATTGTCGTTTGATTGTTAATTTCTCAATATTCCCTTTAGATGCGGTCAAACTAATATAGCTAGTATAGTACGCCACAATTTTTGGTGAGCCCATTTTCAATACAAAAAGAAATTGTCTTTTTCACGTACTTAACATACATAATATTGCAATTATTCAAATTATTACTTTAATGAATATTGAATGATTAATTGATTTAAGACTGATTTATTCAATTTTATTGTTATTTCATTAGAATTTGAGAATATTTTATGGTAAATAATAAAAAGCATTGTTTTACTTTAAAAAAAATTGTCATGTTATAATAAGACTAAAAAATTAAGGGTGTCCGGCCTTTTTACCAAAATGCTCGGCTAAGTTCGTTGGTCTGTCCGGCTTTTCGGTCTTAAGACCTGTCAACCCTACCTGTGGCGCTGAATTTTTGTGCCAGAGCATCGTTGGAAATATTTACTATAAATACAGTATATTTCAATTAAATAAAGTTCGCACATTATTATTATACCAGATAGTTAACTCATTATAGTTATTTTGATTATAGCTGAGGTTACTTAGCAGTCCGAATGGGGAAAAATAAATACAAGTATCAATGTGTCATTTAACGTAAAAAAAGAAATATCCTATCTCTGGAGAAAAAATAACGGGGAATAAAAATGTCTGTATGCTTGCCATATGGACTGGCCTAGATTATGCAGTAAAAGTACTAAAAATCTACAAAGACGACAAGTTTTGGATTTTGAATATGTTAGCCAAATTACAAGCGTTTTATCAAAAGTGTGTACTGGCTGAAATTATTAACTCGAGATAAGCTCGGTGAATGCCGTTGCGGCCAATATTTTTATAATAAAAAATATGGTAATTGAATGTAAGTACCGATTTAAAAAATATTAGTTGCAGTTGGTTATTTTATTTATTAAAACAGGTTGCAACCGTACTATTAATTTATTTATACCACTATGCGACCGTTAGTAGATATAATCGATTATTACCCAACATCTGTTATCAATCGATTACTGTGAAACAATTAAAATATTTATGTGTACTTATTTCAAAACTAAGGTTCATAAATAATGAAAAATATATCAAATAGATTATAATAAATTAATTAGATAACATAAAAATGACACACCAAAAATTTTTCATCCACTGAACTCCATCCTAAGAAAACTTGTATAATGAAAGATCAAGATTGTTTAGTCGCTATACTCACAGTACCGTAGTGCAAGCGATTGAAGATATGAAATAAAGTGTCGCTCGCGTAGGTCATAGCCCGCTGGGGGCGTAAATACCTAATAAGTTTGCGTAACGCCGAAATGTAAGAGGGCTCTTAAGTCCTTATCTTATATGCAATATATCTATTGTCTAAAATCGTGATAGGTGCTAAAGGTAAGAAAAGTTATTGTTCTTCCTAATATGATTTGTGCCATAATGTGATGTTAAGCGGTTCTTTTCTGGTGTTTATAGGATGAAAAAAAAAACTAGAATACAATCAAAGTTGAACCAATACAATTTGGTATAGATAGCAGAAATCCACCCATGCTTAATATATCCAGTCATATTATAGGTTTATCATGTTTTAATTTTTATTTGATCATTTAACATCACTAAAAATCAATAATAATTCTTCAGTGAAACGTAATTATAAATTACCATATACCTTAGCACCGCAAGAGCGTTCCACGTCGTGTCGGTAGGGCGTGTCCATGAGGTCGTAGCCCTGGCGGTCGACAGTGAGCGCGCCGAGGCAGCCCAGCAGCGGGCGCGCGGCGAGCGGGGCGGCGAGCGGGGCGCCGGGCGGCGCGCCGCCCACGAAGAAGCGCGCCGCCGGCTCGGGCAGCGCCGCCGCCTCCTGCACGGGCGGCGAGGGCGAGCCCAGCGTCTCCTCGCCGTTCACGCGCAGGCTGCCTGGGGACAGGCCGCGCTCAATCACCAACGGGAACACTTATCATTACTTATATTTTTCTTAGTTTTAACATCTTTAAAAGCAAATTAAAACAACATATAAAAATAAATTTTAAATCCGACCCTGTCCATATGCCGACCGCTAATCAGTTTTTATTACAAAAATACCTTACTTACTACCCATTTTATTAACCTGTATTCTAAAAGATTGGTAACTTGTACATCAATACACAAAAAGATGATATAAAAAGTATTAAGTTGTATGCCTAAACTAGTAAGAAGTTGTATGTCACGAAACTCTTTCCTTCCTTTTTAATGTTAATATATATTTATTGATTTTTTGCAATTTGTATGCTCATAACCATTTATAACTTGAATATTGTAACTTCTCATTAAGTGAAATATATATTTCTTTTGTGAATAAAATATCTTTAACCATTTTTAGCCCTCAACTTACTATAAGCTTTTAGTGTGTATGTCTGCATCAGTGCATCTGTGTCTCTGTAGCATCATCTCCTGAACGGATGAACTGGTTTTGATTAAGTTTCTAAGTGTTCTTAGTTATGTTGTAAGGAAATTTGTTCAGCTGTTTGAAAGTCATCACTTCTTTTTGTTTCGGGAGTTTTTTTAAGTTTTTAATTTAAGTTATACATTCCTAAGTCCACACTAGGAATAAGCATACATTTGTAGCTTGTTCCTTAAGTCTAAAGGTAACTCCTTTGCAGGACAATACACTTCTTCAATAAGATATCAAGATAAATAGTAAACTTACACTTAAATATTTAAAAATTTTTAATAAAAAAATAATTAAAAAAAAATACATAAAAGAATACCTTACAAAGAAAGCATGTTAGATATTACAGTCAATGACTATCTTGAAAATAAAAATGATTGAAAATTATTCATTAATCAGCACTAAATTTAATAGCTATTAAAACAAAAATGGTTGTGGATAACACTTGTCTGAAGCAAGTAATTAACACTTGAGTTACAGGTCACCAGGCTTCCATTTAATAGATAAAAATGCTTGGTGGCAAGCAGTTACGGCTCTTACTTTAATACTTAAGAAAGAAATGACATATTTATTTATGTAACGGTAACGGAAAGACAATGAGAGTGAGGAAATAAAGTTACGTCGTGTAGGTACTTGCGCTTATGCGTCGACACTATAATTCTATCTTGTACACTAGTCTCCGTTGAAACTGGCCGCCGTGACCAAAATTCGGTTTGTTGTTAGAATATTATTATAATACTATGGCTTATTATAAGATTTTCGTTGTCGGAATGAGGTTACCTTTCTCAAGTTTGTTGGCAGCGAAGACGCGTATGGCCTGCACGTGCGCCGGCCGGCCGTCGCAGTGGCGGCCGCCCGTCGCGATCTCCAGCCGCGCGCGCGAGTACACCACGCGGAACACCACGCGGCACGACACCAGCTCCACCGACACTGACCGGTTCTGTCGCAACGTGCCGTTTTATATTAAGTGTCTTCTGACTTAAATAGATAGAGAATATCCTAGCTTACTGATACAATTAATTTTTTTATTGAGGATTAGAATTATTAGCGCTTCATTACCATAAAAACTAAAACTTTTGCAGCATAGTTGAACGGACTCCTTAATCGTACATATTATGTGATTTTTTGACGTGAATACGTCTTTAAATTTGCTCGCATAGTTGGAGGCAATTCAGAAAACTGAAGACAACTAATAAGGGAAACAGTTCGGTGTTGCAGTTAAATAACTGTCAACTACATTCAATACTTAATTAAACTGTAAAGACTGTGACGTATTTGCGGCAGAGGGGGGTGAGCCGCCATTTTGGAGTCTTTTTGTTACGAATACGTATCCACGTAAAACACAGCTGTGTCTACAACACAGCTATACCCCAATTATTTCTCAATATTCATTTAGACTTTAGAGGGTTCTTCTCTCTCGAACGGATATCATTTCTTTTAGGAAAAAGTGAATAGAATAAGGATGATAAACGGTGACATAGTCCACCTGATTGTAAGTGAATGCTGTGGCCCATTGTCACCTACAACTACCCACGATTAAGAATAAAAATACAGATGCGTCGTTACCCCTGAGAACTTAGATGGGATGCCTCGTATCCAGTGAAAAACGTCTCCGATTCTCTACACTCACTATATGAAACACCGCAGTATTAAGCTACAATGTTATGCTGGTATTCTGTCTGAGCGTGCCCCTTTTTATATAGAGGATAAAACGAGCATGCGGCACGTCTGATGGTAGGTAAGTGACTACGGACCATGAACAGCTACAACACCAGAGAGTAAGCTCTATTTTTGAAGGTACCTAAGCGATATCGGCCAAGTATCCAGATAGTGAGGACGATATCGTGAATTTTGACGCGATGTGCATTCGTGAAATTTGGCGGCTGGAATCAATCATTAGAGCACTCCCAGTGGTAGATGAAGTGATAGAAAATGTAAATGGATGCAATGTCTCTACGCAGCGCCAGTGAATCGAGCCGATCAGAAAGAACGCGGTCGTTGACGATTCAAACCACTCTGCGCTGGATGCGCTCAAGGGAAGGAGTTGGCACTGGGGTGCCCCAGCCCAGAGATGAGAATAGTATTCCATGTGAGGTCGAACTTGCGCTATGTAAAGTTGCAAGCGATGTGCAGACATGAAATACTGTCGTTCTCTGCTAAGCATGCCAAGCCTTTTAGAGGCCAATTTGGCTTTCCCTTCCAAGTTACCACAAAACTGCACGCTATTAGATATGTCGACGCTGAGGATTCCGATGCTAGCTGAAGCAGCAAGGAGAGTACCTTGAAACTGAGGAGATACCACAAAGGGGTTCTTTTTATTGGTAAACGCGCAAACTTGTTCCTTCTAGGGATTGAACTGGACTAGATTTAGTCGTTTAGTATCCGAGACTCTGTTCAGCAAAGACTTGTCTTCAGACGCAAGTTTGTTCCGGTACTTGGCGAAGATTCCCGAGTAATATTGGCACGGCTGGTGAATAAAGCCTTACCAGTGCTGTCTTCCGCAAAGCAATGAATGTTACCAGTTTGCAACATATCACTAATATGCAGAAGGAACAGCGTTGGTGACAGCACACAGCCTTGTACAAAACCAGCGTTGATAGGCTTGTAATCAGAACATGTACCGTTTACTACGACCTTGATTCTCTGATCAGCAAGGAAACTGGTGATCCAATTGCACGATTTTTCGGGATGCCCGAAATTCTCTCGAAGCTCCCTTTCTATAAAGGGAGTTTCGAAAGAAGCGCTTTGAGCCAGACCCGATCGAAGCCAATCGTTATGTCCAAGCTAACGGTCAATGCCCCTTTGGACTCTTCTGCCTTTGCCCATTTATGAGTTGGGTAGACTAGACGATTACCAGATGATCGACTTCGACGAAAACCGTATTGGCGTTCACTAATCAGCTTGTGATCCTCAAGGTACCTCATGAGCTGGCATTTCATAATGGATTCCATTAATTTAGAGAACAAGAAAGTTATGGCGATGGACCTGTAGTAGGACGGGTCTAACGGGCGCCTTTTTTAGGGATCAGGTGGACTAAAGCTGTCTTCCATGAATTCGGGGCTACGACTTGGGAGTAGGAGTTCCCTTCTCCGATGGAGTCCACTCAACATCGTGTTGTAGCAATAACACGCTGTAGCATGACTGGTCCACGTACATAAGCATATTATTGACTCGGTGAGTGACTCACGTTAGCCTCATCGAGCGCCATGAAGAGCAGTGCGTCCTCGTCGCGCGTACGGAACGTGAAGGAGAGGCTGAAGTGTCGTCGCTCGGCGGCGCGCGCGCCGGCGCGGCGCAGCTCGGCGTACCCGGCGCCGCCGAACCACGCCATGCCCGGCTCGCCGCGAGCACCCGCGCTGTACCACCTGCAGGACACCACACCACTCTAACAAGGGATTTTTCTCGTCATAGTCGCGGAGGCAACAAAATGGTTATGCCGGTCATAAACAGGCTACCTTTACTTTTACAATTGTTCAGATAAATTATATGTGTATGCAATTATATTTATAATATATTGGTAATTGGCATCCTATATCATACCGTGGGTGTCGTAAGAGGCGATAGGGGCAGGGAAAGAAGGCAGCAGGGTCTTGTTAATAACGACTAAAAATAAAAAATAAACTGCGGTTCCTAATCTGCTTTTTTATAGGATGGGGTGACAAACGAGCACACAGTCAACCCGATGGTAAGTGGTTGCTGCGGCCCATAGACATCTACATCCATCTTCGATTACAAATCAAAATGCAGATGCGTTGTCACCCGTGAGGACTGAGATGGAATGCTTCGTTTACAGTGAAAAGGGTCTCCGGTTTTGTACACTCACCATACGAAACACAGCAGCATTAAGCTACTATTTCACGCTGGTATTCTGTGAGAGCGTGGTCCTTCCCCGGTTGAACCGACCCATTCGTGCAACATCTATACTACTAATATAACTGCAGCATGGCTCTACCACATATGCTTGCCAAACGTGGCAACTATGTTAAAACGGAGGCAATGTATGGGGAAGGCCTATGTTCAGCAATGGAATTTTTTATAAGTTGTAATGGATATATGGACAATATAGGTCAAAGTACAACGGTGCAAGTTCACGCTCACGGGATGTCGCTAGATGGCATTAAAGGTAGGACCGCACTTGGCGGAACTGAGCGACACGTGTTGGTCAGTTGATCAACTTAGCCGCGCAGTTCTGCTGCAGTGTAGTTCCGTTGCCGCTTAGTACGTGTTGTCTCGTATAATTTCATATAAATAATATTTTGTCGCTCAGTTCCGCTGCGGTGCAGTTCCGCCTAGTGCGGTCCTACCTTAAGGTGAACTTATTTGTTACGCAGTTGATCAACACAAAACACAATGTCATCATTATTTAAAAGTAAGCATAAAAATAAAACGATTTTTAATATATGGATTAAACACAAAACAATACCTTAGTGCTGTTTTTTTATTTTTTTAAATTTTTTGACTTTTTAAATTCTTAGACTTTTAGGAATGCCCCTAGTTTGATTTATTCGTTTCTAGTTTTAGTCATATAAAAATACAATTAATATTTATTAAATAAAATAAAAATTATAATAATTGTTTATCGACTACTTTGATTCTTAATAGAGGATAAATGTAGATATCTATGGGCCACAGCAACTATTTATCATCAGGTGGACTGTGTTTTTTTTTTTTTCGTGCACCAGCGTGGTTCTTCCCCGGTCGAGTCTAACCATTCGTGCTACAGCCATAATATAGCTGCAGCGTGGCTCTACCAGGTATGAAACTGTAGTGCCCGTCTGGTAGTACACGATGCGATTCAAATAAGAATAGGAACGTCATTGACCTCGAATGACCGCGATTTGCCGAATGTAATTTGTTTGTTGTGTGTCAATGTCGTTTTATTTTCGCTTTACTTGACCTAGTTTTAGTACTACCAAATGTATTGAACTCATAACCATTTTAAATAATATAATTATTTAAAATGGATATTATATACCTATACGAATGTAAGTTCTATTTTTATAAGAGAAAGCAGAAGTGATGATAATGATGACAATGATGACTAAACAGACAGTGATGTAGAGATGAGCGAAATTGAAATGCTAGAATCAGATTCATACTTTTTGGTTCAAGGTTCTTTTGTATACAAATAATATTTCAAAATTATCTACTTTGTTCAACCTACCCAACTGGTTTGAATTGCCAGCAATGACGTCACAATATGGCGGCAGTCCTATTCTTATTTGAATCGCATAGTAGGTACATAAAAGTGTTTGTTGCGAGGGTACCTGTGCGTGCAGGCGACGCAGCGCGCGGCCGGCGGCTGGCGCGCGAACGCCCACAGGCCGAGCGCGCGCTCGTCCGCGTGCAACGCGTGCACGCAGCCCGCCAGCGGCGCCGCCTCTTCGCCCAGCCACAGCGCGCCCGCCGCCAGCGCGCCCGCGCCCGCACCCGCGCCCGCGCCCGTGCTGTTGCTGCTCATGACCGCGCTCGCTCCCGCGCGCTCTACTCTCAAACGTACCGTGCTCCACACTCTGCAATTCAACGATTTCAAGCATTTTTAATAGAATAAATTGACAAACAAATACACATTCCACCTGAATGTAAAGCTCCGGCTCATATACATCTACATCTATCATCGATTAAGAATCAAAATGCTGACGCTTTGTCACCCCTGAGGACTATGAGGGTCGACCTAACCGTACCACAACCACACCACATCGCAGCGACAAATATGGTCATGTGGTTGCGTTGCAACCCTAGTCGTGGCGTCGCACGCAATGTCGTGTTCGCGATGAAGCCGGCCGCTAGTTCCGTGTGGTTTCGTATAGTGGTTGCGTCGTAGTCGGTGTCGCTCACGTAGTCGATAATGAAGGCAAAATGTAATACATATAAATTTATTATTTATTTATTTAATGACATTTACAGGAAAAAATATTACATAAGTTCATAACTTCGCCAAACTGTAAAGACAGTTTGTTGGCGAATAAATCCACTCTTATATCCTATTACATAATTAAATTAAATAAGTACTCAACTCACGTAATATTACAAACAACTAGAAATTTAAAACATGAACACTATAAATTCCACACTCTATCAATTCCAAATACAACACCCCACCCACATATAATTATAATAATAATGTTATATAAATGTTAGTTTGTCCCAGCCGGATATAATGCAAAAACTGACGGAGCGCATAGACGACCTGAAGCAAAGAATAGCTGCTTGGGGAAAGCGGATTCGGCGATATACCGAGAGGTCGACACGGTTCAACCAGAATCGTCTCTTCCAGAGTGATCAGAAGAGGCTCTATAAATCATTGGAGCGACCAATAGTAAGTGGAACGGGCCCTGCACCAAATCAGGCCGACATGGTCGCATTCTGGCGCAGCCTGTGGTCAGAGCCCGTAAACCACAACGAGGGCCCTTGGACGGAAGTTGTGGCGAGTCAGTGTGCGAGTATTACGCCCATGGACCCCGTCATCATAACGCCGGATGACGTAGCTGAGGCGGTCCGTAGGGCCCCGAACTGGAAAAGTCCGGGGCTTGACGGGCTGCATCACTACTGGCTGAAGGGGTTCATGGTGTGTCACTCTGTGCTCGCCCGACAGTTTCAAGAGGCTCTCAACCAGAAGTCGCTCCCAAGCTTCTTCACTACTGGGATCACTCATTTGGTTCCTAAAGATCAGGGTGCCACAGACCCGAGCAAATACCGCCCCATCACGTGTCTACCGACCACATACAAGACACTAACATCCATTTTGAGCGTAAGAATCGCTCGTCACCTGGACTTAAATCAGGTGATGTCGCGCGCTCAAAATGGATGTCGGGGCGGCGGTCGTGGAACCAAGGAACCACTCCTCATTGACGCGGTCATTGGCAAAGTGGTGAAACGCAACCGTCGGAACTTCTCCGCCGCCTGGATAGATTACAGAAAGGCATTTGACTCGGTGCCCCATACATGGCTAAAGAGGGTCCTCGAGCTGTACAAGATTGACTGTACAGTTCGAGACTTCCTCGAGCAGTGTATGGGGCAGTGGAGTACGATCCTCTGTCATCTAGGCGAGCGGATGACGGCTGCGGAAAGCCGCATAAGGATAAGAAGGGGTATATTCCAGGGCGACTGTCTGAGTCCAATCTGGTTCTGCCTCTCTCTGAACCCTCTCAGTACTTTACTGGGGGGGCTCCGGGAGGGGATTTCAGCTTCGGAAAGGAGGTACAAAAGTGACCCACCTTTTCTATATGGATGACCTCAAATTATTCGCCTCCAGTCGCTCCCATCTTATGGAATTGCTAAACATCACGTGTGAATTTGGCAATTCTATTAGAATGGAGCTGGGGACGGATAAGTGTGCGGTCCTCCATGTTGAAAGGGGAAGGGTTGCTAACTCTGAGGGCATAGACTTATCTATGCCCGTCAACTTAAGAACCCTTTCCGAGGCTGAAACATACCGATACCTGGGTATGTCACAGAACATCGGTATCGATGAGGCTGGTATGAAACAGTCAGTTTGCGACGTGTTTTATGCACGCTTGACCAAAGTGCTTAACAGCCTTTTGTCCGGTGTGAATAAGGCACACGGATATAACGGTTGGGTCATGCCTGTTCTCATGTATACCTTTGGCATACTCAGGTGGACTCAGACTGAACTTAACGCCCTGGATAGAAAAGTCCGCACTACCATGACGTCCCATAGGATGCATCATCCGAGATCGTCAGTAATGAGGCTGTACTTGCCGCGGAAGCATGGTGGTCGTGGCTTCTTGAGCGCGCTCACCATGCATAATCGCGAAGTGTGCAGCCTCTGTGATTACTTCCTGGCGAGATCGGATGATCCATTCTATAAGGACGTCATTTCTTGTGATAAAGGACTTACCCCTCTATCCTTAGCCAACGAGCAATGGCAAGACCCGGCAGTGCAGAGCATTTCCGACCGGGAGACCGTATGGAAGGAGAAGGAGCTCCACGGGAGGTTCTACAAGGCTCTACATGAGCCTTTCGTAGACACAGTAGCCTCCCTCTACTGGCTACGCTTTGATGATCTCTTCGGGGGAAACCGAGGGTTTTGTCTGTGCAATACAGGATCAGGTTGTTAAGACCAACAACTATCGGAGATACATCCTAAAGGATGGCACCGTCGACATCTGTCGAGCTTGTCGCCATCCCGGTGAGTCACTTAGGCATGTTATCTCCGGTTGTTCGGCGCTTTCTAACTCTGAGTACTTGCACAGGCACAACCTAGTAGCCAGAATTCTACACCAGGAGCTCGCTCTGAAATACGGTCTCGTGGATCGGAAATTGCCGTATTACAAGTACTTGCCGGAAGCCGTGCTCGAAAATGATCGCGCCAGGCTCTATTGGGACCGGGCCACCATCACAGACAGGACTATTCTTGCGAATAAGCCTGATATTGTGCTGATGGACCGGGCACAGTAAGGGATATTTTTGGTCGACATTACCATTCCGTATGACGAGAACCTCGTGAAAGCCGAAACAGACAAGCAAACAAAATATCTGGACCAGGCTCACGAGGTGACCGACATGTGGGGTGGTCTGCCGACCGAAATTATTCCTGTAGTCGTCTCTGCAAACGGGCTAATCCCAGTCAGCCTCTCGGGTCATCTGAGGCGGCTGGGACTACGTGGCGGACCGCTCCAGGTTCAAATGCAGAAGGCGGTGCTCCTCGATACCGCCCGCATCGTCCGCCGGTTTCTTTCCCTTTCTCCCTAACCCTTGGCCGTTTGGTCTCCCCTGCCGAGGGCTTCCATCTGGTTGGGCTTTTATTTATTTATGTATTTTGTATTTATTTTATTTTATTGATATTTATGTATATTTATCCTTTCATTTTCGTTTATAATTATATATTTATACATCCCAACCAGATGAGAAAACTATATAGATACCCCACACATAATAATAATAGCCTTTTATTCCTAAACATAGGTTTACAAGAAGTCCCTAAGTTCGGTGTGCCTTTTGGCATAGGCCTCCTCCAATTCCTTCCAATAGTTCCTGTCGCTTCCTACTCTCAGCCAGAATGGTCCCGCTGTCTGTTTCAAGTCGTCTTCCCATCTCCTGAATCGACGACCCCTGCCTCTTTTGCCATCTTTTGGTTGCCAGAGAGTGACTTGCTTGCTCCATTTGTTAATGTGGTGGCGTAGCAAATGTCCAGCCCATCTCCATTTTTGGACATCTATCCGGGTAAGAATGTCTGTGAGTTTTGTTCTTGTTCTAATGTCTACGTTCCTGACTCTGTCTTTGATTTTTAACCCTAGCACTTTCCATGGCACGTTGGCATTTTGTTAGCCTTCCCCTATGGTGAAGTGTTGTTGACCAAGTTTCACAGCCATAAGTAAGAACTGGTAGAATGCAGGTCTCGAATGTTTTCTTTTTTATGTGATTGCCTAGATCCTTACTTTTCAATATTTCCTTCAGTGACCAGTATTTTCTCCATCCTTGGGCTATTCGCCTGTTTATTTCCTTTGTCATTTCATCTGAAAGGGATATTATATGTCCTAAGTAAATATATTCTTTGACATATTCGATCTTGTTGCCATCTACCATAATGTCTATTTCCCTTGAGTTTGACATTAATTTTGTTTTACTGGCATTGATTTCCAGACCAACTTAACTACTTATATTTGCTAGGCTCTGCATCATTTGTTCTATTGCTGCTGGATTCTCTTCAAGAAGCACCAGATCATCGGCAAATCTTAGATGGTTTAAGCGAGCTCCGTTAATGTTCAAACCTAGGTGGTCCCAGTTTAGCTGTCTAAAGATGTGCTCGAGTACGGCGTTAAATAGTGCAGGGGAGAGAGGATCGCCTTGGCGCATGCCCTTTTTGATAGGAAATGGTTCTCCTGTTGATTCTAGTTTAATACTGGCCTTGCTCGATTTGTATATACTCTTAAGTATTTCTATATAGTTGCTCTGGACCCCTTGTTGTTCAAGGCTCCGCCATATATATTGGTGCCTGAGGCTGTCGAATGCCTTTGAGTAATCTATAAACGCCAGGTAGATTTGTTTATTGTATTCGTTATACTTCTGTATCAACTGTTTTATTGTGTGAATGTGATCTATTGTGCTGAAGTCCTTTCTGAATCCTGCCTGCTCTACAGGTTGGCTTTCGTTGAGTGTTAATGATATTCTTTCCAGGATCACTTTAGCAAATACTTTATATATATTTGATATAAGAGAAATCGGCCTATAGTTCCCAATCTCGTCTCTATGGCCTTTTTTATGTAGTAGAATTATGTGACACTCGGTCCATTCTTCTGGAATTTGCCTTGTTTGTAAGATTTCATTGAAAAGTTTTGCCAGCACGGGACTGATTTCCTCTAAGGATCCCTTGAGCATTTCATTAGGTATCTTGTCCGGCCCTGGGGCTTTCTCGAGTTTTTGGGATTTTATTGCATTGATTACCTCTGATTTAAGGATTTCTGGCACTTCATCTACTTTATTTTCTTTTACTTCCGGAATTGTGGCCATCCCTGAATCGAAATTATCAGAATACAATAGGCGGTAATAGTTCGCAGCTAGTTTCTGTATTGAGAGTCGATAGTTAAGTAAGATTCGCGTTGATTTAGTTTCGCTATCCATTCTTTCCCATTTTCGCTTAGTTGTTTCATAGCCTTTTTTGTTCCTCCCGTTCTTTTTATATTTTCTTCCAAAACTCTATTTCTTTTCTCCTTACGATCTTTCCTCATATTCTCCTTAATTTCCTTGCTAAGGGTTGCAATTTTGTGTAAGTAAGGTTATTTTCCATCATGAATTCTACTAATTTCTGTCCATTTTGGCTTCTTTTGCCATGCCCAAACTTCCCGATTGAGGATTCATCTCCAGTTTGCCTTTCTCCAACCTGTGCGTTAAAGTCGCCCATGATTATTATGTTGTTGTTGTAATGCGGTTTTATTGCTTCTGAGATACTCACATAGAAATATTCTATTTCTGATTTCCCTGCTTGTTCTGTTGGGGCGTATATTTGAAAGATGGCCCAGTTTTTCTTGTAGCCCGGAAATTTTAAATGAACTACAGCAATTCTCTCAGAAACTCCTTCAAATCCCATAATGTTCTTCTTCAGTTTAGACTTGATGAGGAAACCTACTCCTTTTTGTCTGGTGTATTCTCCTTTGTGAAACATGATATAGTCGTTCCTTTCTTCTATCCCTTCTCCTGGACTTCTCATCTCGCAGATGCCAATAATGTCCCATTTTATGTTAGATATGGCTATTTCTAGTTCTTTTAAGCTCTCTTCTGTTCTTAGTGTCCGAGTATTCAGTGTGCAGACATTTATATGTTCGGTGATCTTTTTACCTTGTTCTATCTGTATTGTTTTCTTATTAAATATGTTTGCTTTAGGGTGTTTCGAAATATAGTGTTTTAATTTAGATGGAGGGTGTTTGTCTTCTTCCCCCACGGTGACAAGCCGGCTTGGGGTGCAATTTATGAGTATTGTGTTTGGTAATGTGGTTGTTAGGGTTGTTTGGATCCGGGTGTCGCTTATTAGTTTTTTGAGAGATTTGATAATGAAGCTGATCTTCCACGCTCTACATAGTTCAGTATATTTGGTCTGATGATATTATTTGTCGCAGTTTTAGAGGTGGCGTTGTTCAAGGTGGTCAATGTACTTTCGGTGCTACCTGCATTGACTTTCTTTTGTGATGGTATTTTCGGTAATCTTGAAGTCTCTCTTTTCCTTTTTTCTCTGTTGCTTTCGTGTGTTTTCCTTATTATCAGTTTGTCGTATTTTATGTAGGCTATATTCCCTTTTTTCTTTTCCTCTTCAACTTGCAGCTGCAGTTGTTTACGTTTTTCTAAGGGTTATCCTCTTTGATATTTACACCTTTTGTAGGTTAGCTCTGTTTCGCAGAATCATATGTTTTTTCCATGTAGTTGTGAATGAGACTACAACTGGGCGATTTTTATCTAGCTCTTTTTTACCGATTCTGTAAACATTATTAATTTCGAAGACTTCTAAGTGTACTCCCATTTCTATTATAATGTCTTTTATGTAGTCTACTAGCTCTGGTTCTGTTGTTGCTTTTCCTTCCTCGATGCCAAAAAAGACAAGGTTATTTTTGCGCCTTTCCTTATCAGCGAATTTAAGTTTTAACTCTAGCTCGCTTACTTTATTTTTGAGTTGGGCGTTTTCTTCGGTGACCACTTTAAGCTTTTCGTCTAGTGCTGCCATGACATTTTGTGTTACTAAAGTTGTTATAAGTTTAGTTTTTTGGTCTAACTTTTCGTCTTTGTCATTTCAAAGACGAAAAGTTAGACTATATATAAAGTTAGACATCACTAATTTTGCCAATAGGATTTCCATACTTTTTTTCCATCTTTGGTAATTTTTTATATTGCTATGGCAACACTTGATTCACTGTGGTAACACTCGTTTCGTTGTGGCAACACTTGTTTTGCTATGGCAACTATGCTATGGTACTGTAGTTTCCACTCTATAGTCTATGTTTAATTTGCATCAGCTGACTCTTGACGGTTTTTTTGTAGGTTAGAATAATTACAATTACGGTTGATTAGTTCTCGCAATTTAACACTTTTTCTGTAATTTTTTCACTGATCACGTATTTTGTACTTTGTTGTAATCAATAGTTTGTATGACACACTTTGTTGGCACTTTTTTTACACTGTTTATTTTTTAATTTTCGCTGAGCCCTGTGACGTGCGTATTGACTGATCAACGACCGGAACCGGAACCCCCCCCCGCCCCCACCCACATAACATTGCAACAAATAAAATTTGTAAATGAAACCTGGATATATTTTTTTAAATATTACAAACAAATAATAGTTTTTTGAATGGTCATACATCTAGCATTTTATCCAAAAAATAATTCCCAAGTTTCTTTTTTAATTGTTAATTTGCAATTAGGTCTACTTTTTATAATTTTAGTTATCTCGATTCCCGGGACTTTCGGGTCGAGACTCGAGACGAGACAAGATTGTCGAATTTGTTATGTTATCATTTTTATTTTCAAATAATTGAAGGAGTCTAACGCCATCTGTTAGTTAAATTAAAAAAGCAGTTTCAGTTGTTCAAATTTGAAAAAGCACAGGAAGTTTGGAACTACTGTATGAAGCCTTAAACACGATTAAACTGACATCTGTAGAAAACGAGAGTGTGTGTTCTCCTTGTCCGGTGGCATTATTACAAAAATCAGAAACAGATTGTCGGAGAAAGCTGTTGACGCTTTGATTTTTTTAAAAGCCTATTTTATTAAATAAGCAAGGAAGTCTAATTAATGTGTTAGTTAATTATTTGAAAGTCTGATTTATAAGTAAGTGTTTTATGATTTTTATTAAAATTATTAAATATGAAACAATTCTGTGATAAGGAGAATTAACAATGTTGTGATTATGACCAATGATAAGATACTAGAGTTACTAGATAATAGTAAAGTTATTAAGAATTTGTATGATTTTTAACTAAGTTCGTTTTGTAACTATAAGATTTAACTGCTTAAAAGTGAATCTGTGTCTGATTAAAAGAAATAAACAAAGCAACTATTAAAACTGAAATTAACTTTTAAGTTATTAAGATTTAACTTTCTGTTTAATAAATGTTGATTTTTAAAAGACATTAACTAATTAAAATCTTTCAAAAATGGCTCAACTCTCTTAAAAAAATTTTTATCTTAAAAGTTGAAGACCCGGGAATTCCCGGGACTTTGATAGTAAACTGTCTCGTGTCCCGGGACTTTGAAATTGTCGAGAATTCCCAAACTCTAATCTTGCTTTAGCCAATCTATTTCATTAAGAAGCTTTGGTATTAAATATTTTGTACATCTTTTACCATAGTAGTTTTTAACACTAGGCTGAAATAATTTCCTTTCTCTAACTTTTCTGATTCTACATTTATTATTTTTGTGTTTTTATGTTGACCGAATTTTTTTTTCTTTTTAGTTTTCTTTTCGTTTCTTTCTTGTTGGGGGAAAAAGGGGGTACCAAATTAAATTCGGTGTGGATGCTGAGTGTTCCGAAGTAGTGTGTGCTGCGGAGTATTTTATAAAACAAGGTAATTTTTGTATTTTTTTCGTCCGTCCGGTCTTTCCCTATGACTTTTATTTGCGATTTTTAGCGACGTCCGGTCTTTCCCCTTGATGGCCAATTCTTCATCATGCATATAAAAAATTATGCCTTGTCTTTGCACACGTTTTAAGCAGAAACTGTTGAGTTTTGAAAAGTAAAAGCTTCTTATAGCTAAATTACGTGTAACCATTAACGATTTGCGCCATGTTTCAGAAATCTGACGTATTATGGATGTCGAGAAAATAAAGTTTTTGTCCGACTCTTTTAACTAGTCGAAAATCGTCCGGTATTACCCCAATGCACCTTACATAGTTTTTTGTTCAAGATATATTTTAAATAATACAATTTACATAATACAGCCGACAACCTTGCACATACATCAGATATTTGAGGTTTCCAATTAAAGTTATAATCAATCATAAATACTTAAATCTCTCAACAAATTCAATTTCTTTACATTTACAATTAATTTTATTATTATGCAAGCACTGAAAACCGTGGCCTATAACAGCTATCTCATTCAATTTGGTCTTTTTTGCTGCAGCATTATATGGAGAGTGTATATGCATGCATTTTGTACTATTCATTTCCAATACAAAATGTGCCTACGTGTTATGGTTGTGGTTGTGATACGTGTGGATAGTCGCTAATATGAAGTATTTCAATATCTGTAACCTCCTTACTAACTGTATGGCATACAGTAGTAAGCTAGCAAGGTCATTTCACTCTGTGTTCACAGATGGAATCAATCTTTTTTATAGAATAAAGGTGACAAACGAGCACACAGTCCACCCGATGGTAAGTGGTTGCTGTGGCCCATAGACATCTATATCTATCCTCGATTACGAATCAAAATGCAGATGCGTTGTCACCCGTGAGGACTAAGATGGAATTCCTCGTCTCCAGTAAAAAGGGTCTCCGGTTCTCTACACTCACCATACAAAACACAGCAGCATTAAGCTACTATTTTACGCTGGTATTCTGTGAGAGATCGGTCCTTCCCCGGTCGAGCCGTGCTACAACTATACTACTAATATAACTGAAGCATGACTCTACCACGTATAAAATTCTTATAATAATAAGAACGCATACGAAACTTTTGTGTAATGTTGCTTCTAATTTACCTCTCAATTTCTATCCTGTAGGACATGTGGTCGGCATCGTCGTGGGTTGGTTGTAAATGTTCAGGATGTGTGATCACACCTTCCCCAGTGCCCACATCCCAAGTTAGTCGTAGTCTTTCTTTTTCCACTGATAGTTTCATGTAGCGTTCTGATTCCTGTAATGTTATAATACGGTGATAACAGAGAAGTTTAGTTCATAACAGCTTATTAGGGTCTACTCCCCATGGATTGCCTCATATAGGGTTATCTACTATAGTTGCCACGCGTGGCAGGGTGATTGGCAACCGCAGTTCCTTAAATTTTTTTGTTATTATTAGAAAGATGTAGCATCTTTCTGCCCATCTTTAGGTTTGTTTCACCTCTGTCGCTTTTTATGACAGCCAGAGAACCCAAACTTTTCTATTGAATCATTGTTCTTAAAATAATGCTGCGGTTTTAATTTCACTGTGATTGAAAATGAATGAATACAGCAATAAATAACGTCGTAATTTACTGTAATTAAAAAAACATATCTTCGAAACTTCAAATAACAAGAAAACTAATTTACAATGAAAATACAAGGCGATCTATCGAGGCCGGGGCTTTTTATGCAATAGGGGTTCACGAGCGTACGGCTCACTTAATGGTAAGTGTCGACCGCCGTTCATGAATAAATGAATAGGGGGGGAATTGCAGGTGCATTGCCAGCCTTTTAAAAAGACTGAGCTCGTGTTTCGAAGGTCCCTAAGTCGTATCGATCCGGAAAAATCACCGGCGAATAAAGAAGTCGTGTGTGGAAGAAAACTCCTCGTAATATGCATATTTGTTGACCGCCAAGCATCCAGATGGTGTGGACATGAATTAGCTAAGAAGAAGAAAAATAAAATATTGTCTCTTACCTAGTTTGAAAAGTACCAGCATAAGGACCATCTTTGCTGGAGTAATTTAGTAGGGTGGAGTAATCTAGCAGGTGGTAGTTGGTGGATATTTACCAAGTCTTTTAACAGTAGGAGCGTGCCATTCCGCACGCTGCCGTCGAAGGACACGGCGAGTGCGAGTCGAGTGACGCTGCCGCCGCCGTTGACCGCGAACGCTCGAGCGCAGCCCGGGCCCGCCAGCGGAGACGTCACCGATACGGAAATCTGGTGGAGATATATTAAATAAAAGCAAAGATGACAAATGAGCACACAGTCCTCCTGATGGTAAGTGGATGCTGTTGCCCATGACCTACCTATAGAATTGCCAGTTCCCGTTTCATATTTAAGAGGATTTGATAAGATTATATAAAGGACATGGGATGAGAATAATGAATATCATAATATAAAAACAATGTTAATACGCAATGTTACGTTGGCGTCACTTCCAAGTGATTTTTAAATAAGTTTGCCTCAACTAGCAGAGGATGCCTTGTTCATCATTAATGATTTCAAATTAGGGGTGAAGGATAATTTTTGTATCTGAAGCAGAAAACATCTTTTAAAATAAAGGACTTCTGGCAGCACTATTTACATTTTTCCTCGATTATGAATGAAATGCAGATGCGTTGGCACTCGTGACTGACTGCATTACGGAACTCACTTAGAGTCTCATAGCAACGCATGTATGTGTACGTGCGTCGATTCAAACATCTTCACACGTTAAACCAAACGCTGGCCCCAGTACTGTTCACCCAATATTTGGATCAACAATATAGAGTTAGCCCATACACTGTGCTCAAATTCAAAAGTGGCGCCATTTTGAAATTATTTTTACTTCGCCGATTGCCTACAAAATTGATATCCGATGAAAATGAGAGTCCGTTGCATCTCAGATTAAGTATTCGCTGTACAGGATTGAAAAAGTAACCGCATTTTTGAATTTTTAACTTACTACCCCGATTGCTTTCTAATTCGATATTTGAAGGTCTGTGCCGTCCTCGTTAAAGTATCCAATGTTACAATTCAAAAAGCGGCCGCTATTTTGAAATCTCCTGTTATTAAACAAACTACTTACAATATTACGAAATATAAAGCGTACCACATCTAGGAGCCCTCGCCTCGATCGACTTTCATAAGTTTACTTTAGCATTCTCATATGCTGATTTTACTACATCATTCAAGCCAGTCGTGGCCTTACTACGATATCACTCCAGACCCCCTGTGACTATCGCGGTTTTTAACAACAGACGTATGAAGACTTTCGATGAATTTCATATAAATTCTATCAAGAAACCTATTTTGTCGCAAGTACAGCTGTTGCATGAAGAAACCAATCGCAGACAGTCCCAGATAGTAGTAGTATACATCGAAGTGTTTGGCTGCAGCTGTATGTTACTGTGCTAGGTTGTGTATGTATGCTGTGGTGCTAGGTGTGTACTCACGGATGCAGCAGCGTGTCGTGCTCGCGCAGCGCGGTGCCGCAGTGCGGCGAGCGGTGCGTCGAGCACGGCGGCGGCGAGCTGGTGCTCGCGAGCGCGAGCCGCCGCCGCTGCAGCCAGCGCCTCCGCCACTTCAGCGCCGCGTATCGTGTTGCCGCGGATCTGCGACACTGAGACAATGTAAAGCTCATTAAAGGTTTCAAAATAATGGATTATGGGTAAGTATGAAGTAAGTCACGTTTTCAATAAAACAATACATTTTTACAGAATAAGAGTGACTAGTGAGAACACATGCCAACACATGATGGTAAGTGCCCTGATGCCCATAGATATCTACATCTGGGCTCAATTAAGAATCAAAATGCAGATGCGACACACTTGAGGACTAAGACTGAGTATACGAAACACACCAGCAGTTCACGTTGGTATTCTGTGTGAGCATGACCCCTCTCATGTCGAGCCGACCCTTTTGTGCTGTAGCCATATATCCGCAGCATAGCTCTATCATGTTAATATGCAATTTGTGTAGAAAAAGTCAAGTTAAAGTTTCAGGATGTTAAACATATTTAGATAAGATTCGCATGTAAAACCGAAATGTTGAGTATACCTGATTTAAAGAGAAATTTTGTTCCACCTTCAACTGTCTGTGCACTAGGAATAACATCATTGTTGATAATGCGACACGGCAAACAGAATGTGGTGGCAAATGCAATTGCCAGAGGAAAGGAGGTGCTCTTCAAATTAGGTAAGACACGACATTTTTGAATTTCATGAATAACAACCTAAAATAGCAGCTTAATACTGCTGTGTTTCGTATGGTGAGTGTAGAGATCCGGAGACTTTTTTTACTGGAAACGAGGCATACCATCTTAGTTCTCAAGGGTGACAACGTATCTGCGTTTTGATTCTTAATCGAAGATAAATGTAAATGTCTATGGGCCACAGCATTCACTTACCATTAGGTGGACTGTGTGCTCGTTTGTCACCTTTATTATATAAAAAAGATCTTAGCTAATAAATTGTAACGGATTCCCGTTAAGTGAGGCTTGGTTATATTATTGAACTGTTTGATTGACTATTATAGTTTATTAATTAGCCATGTGATGGCGGTGAAAGAGAATCCGTCTCCTCATTTTGTCACATGGGTGCCGTAAGAAACAATTATGGGAAATGCCTACAAAGATCTCGCTGCAGAGTGATGGCATTATAACGATCTTGTTTACCGCCAACATAAAACACACAGACTGGCTGTTCAACGTAATTTAGTTTGCGTCATAAACAACAGATGGAGTTGTGCGGTGTTTGTGTCGCGATGTGGTTTGCTTAAGGGCCGTGAAATAATTTGTATATTGTGATCTAAAGTGGTTCCTTTAGTGAGATCCATGGTATGTAGTATGATAATACACTATATATATTATACTGTAGTCTAATTTCACTAACAACACCTTCACCCCTGGGATTCATCAGCCACATCCCAGGGGACCGTGAGCATGTCTATATTCAAACTACCGGCTCGGTGACGGGTAAGCAGCGTATAGGTGCGATACGTCTGGTGTTGAGATCATCTATCCGTCTGCTAGACGTGACGATAAGGGCAAATCCTCAATACAACACGAGAGGCTTATAGTAATGGACGTTCACAGACTGATGTAGCATAGCAAAGTCTACATTTCGATACCGACATCAAACAAACGTCTCCTCATTTATTGAGATGACGAAGCAGAGTGTTCTGTGTATATAGCTATAAGGAGAGTCGTAAGCTCGATTGCTGTATTAACAGTTATTGGGTTTTTCTGATAAAACATTCTTATTAGTTGTCAGGAGGCAGCAAGTTAGCGGTGTTTCACTTCCGTACTTTGGAAAACATCTAAAGTAGGTCATGTGCTTATCTCTTAACGTTCGTGTTGGATTGTTTTCCCATTGCGCTATGACAGTGATGGAATAGAGACTGCACTTGCGCTTGCGCACATACTCGTGCACTATATACGTATCTTGCGAAGGAAATAACAGGTGGTGTCATGGTACATTTAACTCTGAAGTATTTCTGACGCCAAATAGCAGTACCTTTACTACTGTGTTCCAGTCTCAAGTGTATACCTTTTTTTATAGAACGAGAGTGATAAACGAGCACACAGTCCACCTGATGGTAAGTGGATTTTGTGGCCCATAGACATCTACATTTATCCTCGATTAGATAAGAATCAAAATGCAAATGCGTTGTCACTCGTAAGGACATGGATGAAATTCTTCGTTTCCAGTAAAAAGGGTCTCCGGTTCTATACACTCACCATACGAAACTAAGCAGTATGGAGCTGCCATTTTACGTTGGTATTCTATGAGAGCATGGTCCTACCCCGTTTAAGCCGAACCATTCGTGCTACAACTACGAGTATAATGTAGTTGCGGCGTGCTCTACCACGTAACTAGTATAATAACAGACTGTAATGCATTCCATCTTAGCCCTCAGAGGTGATGCATCATTAACCTTTCTTTTTTATAGAGTTGACTGCAGATGTCCACGCAGTAGCACAATTTGGTAGATCGTAAGTTTCAAGTTTGTTTGTCACTTTGTTTTAACTGGTTTTTCCGGTGATAGTTGCCGTTGATACTGGTCGCAGTGAGCAGTATTCGATAGAGGATGTTGTTAGTTACCGTGCTCCTGCGCCGCGCCCAGCGCGGTGTCGCCCAGGCGCTGCAGGTCGGCCAGGCGGCGCCGCAGCTGGTAGCGCGCGCGCCGCCGCAGCTCGGCCGCCTCGTCGTACAGCGCGCGCGCGCGCACGAACACGCGGTCTGCCTGCGAGCCCGCCCGCCCCAGCACCTCGCGGACTGCACACCAACACACAATTATTTATTCATTTCACAGTCATAGCCCTGGACATGGTACAACAACCGCCTTTCTCAAGGTTACTGAAGATATTCGAGAGGGTCCGGAAAATTCCAAACAAACAGTTCTTATCTTAATAGATTTTTGTAACGCTTTTAATACAGTCGACCACTCTGTCTTGCTAGCTCTACCCTCTCACTTGAATATCTCGTCTTCAGCCCAAGATTGGTTCTCATCAAATCACTAATCATTGAGTCCAAAAGCAACATACAATATATAAAATAATATAAGTTTAAAAACCTTAAACAACAGGTATTGAACATGAGCCTGAGATCCTGGTAATTATTTCATCATCATTCCTTGTTCAATTCACGGGATAATTTGTGATAGTGATATTCTTACACCGCCACTACCACTACCTCATATAGGAAACGACAAAGGAAAACAAACAAGGAGATGGGCAGCGGCGTTTTCCTTATAACATATATTTTTATAATAGAAATAAAAAAAAATAAGGTTGCTAGCACGCCTGCAAACGTGGCAACTATGGCAAACATCACATCATGAACATTGACATAAAGGATGTAGATACTTGTCACAAAAGTAATATTACTAAAGCAAATTTTGACTCCCATACCTTCGCTTCCATCGCCACTCCCGCCTCCTCCTAAAGCGCGTTCCTTCCACCCTAGTGCCCGTAGCTCCACGCTCACTACGTCTGCACCTCTCCGTGCTTGCTCCAGTTGTCGTCGAAGCTCTAAACATGAAGATGAATTGCTATAGGTTTGGATTTTAATTTTGCAACTTTGATATAACATTAAACATTATATTTTTAACTCAATAGCATTCCAACTTGGCCAATGTTTCGTATAGTAGATTTATGAGTGCATGAATTGTATGTATTGTTCTAATGTACCATATTAATCTTAATAACTAGCCTTATAATATATAAAAATATTAGCGAGAATGTGTGAAACACAATTATTTTTATTTATTTTTCCCGAACATATTATATTCAATTAGAAAATTTACCTTATAATTGAAATTATTAGATTTAAAAATACAATCCACCGACAGATTTCGAGCTAAGTTAGCCATAATTTAGTTTAGGCAGCAATGCAAAACTTAATTGTCACAAATATCTATGATATTTTGTTTTATACATATTTGTTTACGTTCCTCTAAATGTGTCCATAAAATTATAAAATTGTCCATTTAGATGTCTCTGAGAATTTGATATTCTTTAGTCCATACAAAAGACTAAAAAATGCTTTTTTTATTCTTTGGAGTCCACTTTCACTTTTTATTAAGTGATTTTTGTTTCTAGTGCTTTAATGTCAGTATTATCATCATCATCATTACAGCCCTTCACAAGTCCACTGCTGAACATAGGCCTCCCCCAAGTAATGCCACAAAGCACGGTCCTGAGCCTCCTGCATCCATCGACTTCCTGCATGTCTTACCAGGTCGTCACTCCATCTAGTGGGGGGTCGCCCTACACTTCGCCTACCGGTACGAGGCTGCCACTCGAGAACCCTTCTTCCCCAACGGTTGACGGTTCTTCGAGCTATATCGCCGGCCCATTGCCACTTCAGCTTACTAATCCGTTGGGCTATGTCGGTCACTCTGGTTCTACTGCGGATATCCTCATTTCTAAGTTTATCACGCAGAGAAACTCCGAGCATAGCCCTCTCCATAGCTCGCTGACCGACTTTGAGCGTCCTCATACGGCCAGCAGTGAAGGACCACGTCTCGGTTCCGTAGTTGTTTTTTCAGGTTTTGAGGTATACCTAACGAGAAGATGTGTCGTAATTTCCCGAACGCTGCCCAGCCGAGTTGAATCCGTCGATTGACCTCTCGGTCGAAGTTGGACTTACCTAGTCGGACTATTTGTCCCAGGTAAACGTACTCGTCAACAACTTCGAGCATAGTGCTCCCAACAACTACCGGCATAGGTGTGACATGGCCATTAAACATGATCTTTGTTTTGTCCATGTTCATCTTAAGACCTATCCGTTGGGAGGCACTATTGAGGTCATTGAGCATAGTACTTAAGTCCTCCAGCGATTCTGCCATAAGGACTATATCGTCGGCAAATCGAGATGAGTGATGTACTCGCCATTGATGTAAATATTATTATAATGTTATATAATAAAATGTTAATTTAATTTATGCTGGGAACTGAAGCGGGTACCGGTAGACTGGTGCAAAGCCGTGATAGTCCCAGTATATAAAGGAAAGGAAATGGTCATGAAAGAAACTGATGGAAAAATTTGGGATGTGCAAGCGGGATTTAGAAAGGGAATGGGATGTACAGATCAAGTCTTTTCCATGCGCATGATCGCGGAGAAATTTCTAGCCAAAAACCAAAAGGTTTTTTGTGCGTTCATGGACTTGGAAAAGGCCTATGACAGAGTGGAAAGGGATTTGCTATGGCAAATACTGAACTCATTTGGGTTGAGCGCTGGCTTGATACAGGCATTGGAGTCTCTTTATAGGGACTCTACTCTAGTGCTTGTGTTAGGATCAACGGGGTCTACTCGGACTGGTTTGAGATCCATAAAGGTGTCAGACAGGGCTGTGTGGCTTCCCCGTGGCTGTTCAACCTATTCGTGGATAGTTGTTTGCAAAATTTGAAAGTTGAAGAATGCGGATTAAGAATGGGTGAGTTAACCGTCAAATGCCTTTTGTACGCCGATGATCAAGTCATTCTTGCGTCGTCGGCGGCCGAGTTGCAAATGATGGTTACATTAATGAACGGATCATTAAAAGAAAGGGGTATGAAAGCGAACGCAAGTAAGACGAAGGTTATGGTTTTTGAAACAGAAGAAAGTAAAACGATTTGTGAAATAAGAATAGAAGGGGAGTTGATCGAGCAAGTAGATGAGTTTGTATATTTGGGCTGCGTATTTAGCAGGGATGGGAGATATGATAAGGATATAGAACGACGAGTGAATGCGGGAAATAGAGTAAATGGGGCCTTGCACTCTATTGTGAAGAGTCAAAATGTGTCGAAAAGGCACGTATGGCAATTCACAATGCTGTGTTGGTCCCTACTTTAACGTATGGTAGTGAAAGTTGGGTATGGCAGAAGAAGCACGAAAGTAGAATAAACGCAGTAGAAATGCGGTCGTTAAGGAGTATGTTAGGGCTGAATCTGAATGACAGGGTAAGAAATTGTGTAATAAGAGAAGAGTGTGGTTTGCAAGATGATATTGTGACCAGGAATAAGAAAGGAATGCTTCGGTGGTTTGGTCATGTGGAAAGAATGAATGAGGAAAGGGTGACTAAGAAAATTTATGTTGCAGAAGTGAATGGCAGAGTCAGAAAGGGACGTCCTAGGCGAAAATTTATCGACCAAATTGGCGATTTATTGGAAACGGGCCAAATTAGGAGTACTCTTAACCGACAAGCATGTATGCGTATGTTTATGGATGTGAAGGAGGCGAGAGAGTTGTGTCAGGATCGTGCCAAATGGAAATCTGTAGTCTCTGCCTACCCCTCTGGGTGACAGGCGTAAGTGTTTATGGTTTATGGTTATAGATAAAATTATTTTGTCCCTTCTAGAATCTAGTTTTTCTTAAGAAAAATTATCCTCTACTAGTATTTTCTTTCGTATCATGGAGGCATCTTACGTACGTACGTACGTATTGGACATGAAAAAATATCTAGGCCCGTTATTATTAATTGTAGGCGAGATGGGATTCAAATCCGCGGCCCTCAGAATTGCAGCTTAATGCAAATCCATTACGACACACTTTTTACGTGCTAGAGCCACGCTGCAGCTATAATTATTGTAGTTGTAGCACAAATGGGTCGGCTCGATCGGGGCAGATCCATGCTTTCACATAATACCAGCGTAAAGTAGCAGCGTAATGCTGTGTTTAGTATCATGAGAGTATAGAACCGGAGACCCTTTTTTACTGGAATCGAGGCATTCCATATTAGTCCTCAGGGGTGGCAACGCATTTGCATTTTGGTTCTAAATTGAGGATAAATGTGGTGTCTATAGGCCACAGCATCCACTTACTATCAGGTGGACTGTGTGCTTGTTTGTCACCCAATGCTATAAAAAAAACACGGAGCCGTTAAAATGTCTGCTGTCCTTCCCGCTTTTACTCTAATCTAAGTTTCAGTGAACTCACCATCAGCTCTAGCCAAGACCGCGGCGCCTCTGACCTTCAGGTGCTCGGAAGCACGTAGCTCCGCCTCGGCGGTGTGCAGCAGCGGGCTGGGTCCGCGCGCCAGCTTGCCGGCCGCTGAGGCGGCCACCGCGGCGGCTGACGCAGCGGCGGCTGCGGCTCCCACGCCCTCCGCCACTTCTGCCCATGCGTGGGCCGCCTGTACACCTGCTGACGCTAACGCTCGGGTGCCCGCAAAAAGGCTGAGATAGATAATATATAATTTGTACTTGCGATGGTTGACACGTGGTGAAATTCAAGCTTCATTTTTGTGAATGGGATAAATTTTTAATTTATTGTTTCACATTATATATTTTAAATTATTATAATAATTTAAAACAAATATTGTGAAACTAGAACAAGTGTAAACACTTGTACCATTGATACCTTGTGTGTGTGTAGCTTGTACCATCCATTACAGCCTATAAAAGTCTACTGCCGAACATAGGCCTGTCTCAAAGAGTGCCTCGTGGGGGGATTTCGCCATAGTTGCCACACTTGGCAAACGGTTGGCAACCGGACCGCAGTTTTTATTATTTTGAGTTGTTACCAGGAAGATGCTGCTGCCCATCTCCTATTTAACTTTCCCTATGTCGTCCCTATGTATTATGACACCCTTGCGACAATATAAATAAAAGAGTCACAAAAATATAAATATAATGTTAACTTATTTATGATACAACCTATAGCAGAACAGAACAGAAAAATGTTAAAATATTGAGCAAGGTGAACCATATACAAACAAGTTAAATTAATAAATTGAATAATGCACTTCACTGCTGGCCGTATGAGGACGCTCAAGGTCGCTTGGCGAGCTATGGAGAGGGCTGTGCTCGGAGTTTCTCTGCGTGATAAACTTAGAAATGAGGATATCCGCAGTAGAACCAGAGTGACCGACATAGCCCAACGGATTAGTAAGCTGAAGTGGCAATGGGCCGGCCATATAGCTCGAAGAACCGATAACCGTTGGGGAAGAAGGGTTCTCGAGTCGCAGCCTCGTACCGGTAGCCGAAGTGTAGGGCGACCCCACTAGATGGAGTGACGACCTGGTAAGACATGCAGGAAGTTGATGGATGCAGGTGGCTCAGGACCGTGCTCTGTGGCATACCTTGGGGGAGGCCTATGTTCAGCAATGGACTTGTGAAGGGCTGTAATGATGATGATGATGATGAAAGTGTAATTCTATTGACTAATAAACTTAAAGATGATCCTAATCTTGGAGTGGGAGCCTAGTAACCTCAATTGGAATACTCTTCGTGTTTACAGTTGAAGACTGACCAATATATAAAAAAGGATTCTATGACCGACGACTTTGTGCTACTTCAAATGTTACATTGTTATGTATTTTTATAGATTACGTATATTTAAGTTTTATCCCGGGTCGAGTCAAATTCAGTTCTTGGGTTTTTCTATTTAGAAATTCTCAGTAGCAACCAGGGGCCAGGAAGTTGGAGGTGTTTTTACCCCCGTGCCTCAGAAAGCAAGTTAAGCTGTGATTCTGTGCCCTGTGAATTCTTTCCGATTGTGTCGGATTACCATCCCATCAGACTATGATAGTGAGGGAATAGAGAGTGCACCTGTGCTTGCGCATACACTTGGGCACTATAATCCTGTCCTGTGCGGATGGCAGTTTACGTTGAGACTGGCCGCCGTGACTGAAACTCGGTCTGTAAGGCATTATATTAAATTTTTTGAGTGCAAAGAGTCGTAAAGCTACGACGCAAGAAATTTTACATGTTGTTATGTATCGGTGATATTTACAACATAATGTCATAAACTAGAATTGATATTGACTTATTTATAGCAGCGTGGTCTTCATTTTTAAAATCTATTGTATTTTACATATTTCTTTTGTATTATGTATTTCATTATTTTATCATATTTTATTTTTATTTGTGTACATACCTTTTATATTCTCTGGCCTTCTTTCCCAGTTCGGCGGCGTGTTTCTCCACGGCCTCCAAATATTTTTGTTTGTACGTCGGTGTCAGGTTGTATAGTATTCCTTCTTTCTCTTCAGCGGCATTTGTCAGTGCTACCAACTGATCATTAAGAGCGGGAAACCCAACTGCCAAATTTTGCGTTTGTAACAACAGTGATCTAGTTTCATCCGTCATGTTATGCGATGAGAGGTTTGGTATGTCCTAAAATATTAGAATACGGTGAAATATGCCATATTCTTCTCTTAATGAAATGTATTTATAGTCTGTAATAAATTTATGACAACAACGACAATATTAAAGGATTTATTATTAACACGTGATTTATTGTAGACCATGTCCCGCTGGGTTTTTAGCAAATTTTTTTCCAGGAGAGAGGTATTTTGCAGATAAATTAAACCTAAGAATGACTTTCCATAATTATAGTTTACAACCTGTATTGAATAAAAAAGTCTCTATTTATAAAAAAAAAACTTCATAATATTGTATTATAGGCGACTCTATTGGTACACGTTAAAAGCCTAGTAATGTAAAGTCTATTAACTTGTATCTTGCTGCAAATATTTCTCAGAACTATTGTTCAGAAAGTGATACCTTGGGTATTGTGCAACATCTTGTAGAGCATATTTCGACGATATTGCAATCAACTGTGTCACCGATCAATTTAGTTTGTAAACGTAAAGCATGATGAACTACGTCGCATAAAATAGCGGTAATTTGGCTACACAATTGCATTTTGCCACAAATCTAGCCAGCCGCCACAGAACTAGCAAAATATATATAAACCAGCTGCACCCCGCGGTTTCACCCGCGTATATCAAGTGTCTGGGCTGCGCGTCTTGTCATGACGCCAAGTTCAAGCATTTCAAATAGCCGTGTATGGAAAAATTGGTTAAATTAATGGATTACTTTTATCTATCGGCATACGTACATTATAGAGTGAAGTTAAACACAGTTTCTGCGCAATATGCATCGAAATATGAAATTTTTTTAATCATATATTGATTTTTTTTGCTTAAAGTTTAGTTTCCTCAAAAACTTCCCACTTTATTACCGCCATATTGTATGTCATAAGAAAAGAATTAAATATGTTCTTTAAAAATAGGCACAATTTATTTCTGTCATGAGTTTCTCAGGTTCTGTTCCGCCTGACGCTGTTGTGTACAAGTCTGTATATGATAGAGCCATGCAGCAGCCATGTCATGGTTGTATCATGAACGGCTCGGCTTGACCGGGGTAGGACCACGCTCTCACAGAATACCAGCGTATTTTGTGAGAGCGTGGTGGAAATGGTAGACAAGCTGCTGTGATTCGTATGGTGAGTGTAGAGAACCGGAGACCCTTTTTACTGGAAACGAGGCATTCCATCTCGGACCTCAGGGTAGACAGCGCGTCTGCATTTTGATTCGTAATTGAGGATAGATGTGGATGTCTATGGGTCACAGTAACCACTTGCCATCAGGTGGACTGTGTGCTCGTTTGTTACTCTATTTCTATAAAAAAATGGGATGACATATTTGTTACTTACTTCCAACATAAGACGACAACGTAATCCGACATCTCTCACATGAGCCAATCTTGAAGTCACTTGTTTCCTCAGCTCGGATACAGTGTCCCCCGCAGTCCACACAATATCTGCCAGGCGCGGTAGATCATCTGCCTTCTTTTCCCACTCCTCAAGCGAAGTTTGTAACTTGTGTAGGCGCTTGTACATATCTTCTATTCTGTATTTGTATTCTTGAATCGCCGTAGATTGTACGTTTGCCTGTTAAAAACAATAAGCGGTTGTAGAGTTGAAGTTATGGGTTTGTAAATTGCCGGCATTTTTTCTCGGTAGCTTTGTGTAGCGTTTGGCTCTTTTTCTTCTTAAAAAAAAAACGTTATCTCCACGCTAAGATTTTGTCCTGTATCGTGGGGTCAGTTTACAAACATAAATTCAACAAGGACAAACATTCAAACCCGGAACAATTAATTGTAGGCCATACAAATACTTGCTCCGTGCGGGATTCGAACCCGCGGCCCTTAGCGCTGTAACTCATAGCTAAGCCACTGCGCCACGGAGCCCATATCTAGTGCATGAATGGCCTATAAATAATTGTTTCAGGTCTAAATGTTTGCCCGTGTGTAATTTATGAAAGTGAAATTCCACCATTTTACAGAAATACGAGTAATTTCTGTAGAGTTTTGTTTTAACAGAACTTAAAAATAAAGAGTATCAGAAATTAAAAATACAGAGTATCTTATCATATAAAAGTAAAGGCCCACTTCAAAGACCTAAAAAGAATAAGTTGATATCCTCATAATAGCTTCTAAAGTTGATGTTAAAGTATATATACATAGTGTACGAATGAATTTAAGACCCCGTGTAGTGGAATTACTCGTGGAGGTATTTTTTTTTAATAAATTGATCAATTATAAGATTTAAAGATACCAAGGTATTTAAGTGATTATCCATAACAGTACAGCATCTATCATTAAATTATTTATATTCCCAAATCCAATTAGATTATTTATCAAGTATTTTCATGTAAGCAGCCAGCGTACGTTCTTGGGTGTTAAAGTTTTGTATAGCGAATTAAAATTGCTTATATAAAATACGTTTAATGGTATTAATTACAGGTTTTATGAATTATTTAATTCTAGTTTGCTTTAGAGGAGATTACTCATCTGTAGTCTTCTTTAAAGTTAAAGAAAAGTAAATTTACAGCCTATATATGTCCCACTGCTGGGCACAGGCCTCCCTTCATTTCTGAGAGGGTTTTAGGGCAAGGAATTGTTCACTGCGCTACCGCAAACCGTGTTGGCGATCTTCATATGTCTTCGAAATATTTTTTTTCTTATTCCTCAGACATGCAGGTTTCCTCACGATGTTTTCCTTCACCGCCGAGCACGTGGTAAATCAGCACTTAAAATTGCAAATATCAATTTCATTGGTGCCGGCGGGGATCGAAATCGGGTTGCTCGCGTACTGTGAAATTTACAGCGAGCGCTAACCATCTGAGCTACCACGGCTCATCACGTCATCTAGTAATCACGTAGTCTTCTTTGTTTGAAGTTAATTGCAGGGGTCCATGGACCGTAGTAGCCAGTTACCATCTCATGGGAGGTTAGGTCTTTCCTAATTAAAATATTAAGATAACTAAAACTTAGAACTGAAATCAAATATATATGTAGAAGATACTCACAGAGTCAGACACGTCCGCAGCTCCAGTCATATAGTCCGATAATGTAATTTCTCTTATATTCTTTAACAGGTGCCTGGCTTCCTTTATCGCTCTATGTGCACTCATATGCTTCTCTCCTCTTGCAAAATCATCCAACGCCGCGACCTGTTCTCCCAGGAGCCTTCTTTGTTTTAAAACCTCTTCTAACCAGCTCATGCTCTCTAAGCTTAAATATTGAGCTTCTTTTTCTCTTCTTGCTGCTTCTAGTTTAACTCTATTTGCAATCGTGAATATGCCGTGTTCTCTTACCTCCATATCGTTAAGGAAGTTATCAACGTTTCTCGATTGTTCTATATCTTTCTTTAAGACAAAAAGATCGTTTCTTAGTGATGAAGTGTTGTGTGCGTATTCTCGGAGGGCTGGGAACGGCTGTGGTATTCTGCTGAGTTCCGTCAAGTCAGCGTCGGTGCGTAGGTTGGTGGTCAATCTTTCCACATCATTGAGCAGTGTTTGTGTGCAGTTGTCGCAAGCTGAAAAATATATAACGATTAGATATGAAGTTAAGAATGTAAAATAACTTGCGAGGGGCTGATGTATTGATGAGGCTAATGAGGTGTCATAAACATTTTAACTTATACATCTATTCGTAAATACTCTTAAATATCGTAATAAATTATACAAATTCACTGCAGAACAAAGGGTTCCCACAAGAAATGCCATAAAGCACGGTCTTGAGCTACCTGCATCCATCGACTTCCTGCATCTTCTTACCAGTTCGTCACTCCATCTAAGAGGGTCACTCTACACTTTGCTTATCGTATATCAATGATATGGTATTCTTTCCAGACCAGTAGCGTGAGAACGTTATCCAATTCACCCTGTCTTACACCTTGCTGCATTCGAATAGATTTCGTACTCTAGTTTTGTACTCGGATAGCGATCGTAGAATCATTGTACGCTTCACCACTTCCATATACCGAAAGTCAATGTGACATTGTTGAAGAGTACTGCAGAACCGGCCAAATTTCAATGATATTATAGGCTCACAAAGATCACATGCGAAAAACAAAGTGGCAGATTGTAATCTTCGGTCTTCTGTACAATTTGCCGAAGAGTATTAATGGTTATTACTCACGTTTGCAGCCGTCCTCGTCAAGGAAGTGTCGCGGCAGCGCGCAGTGATCGCAGCGCGGTCCAGCTGCAAAAAGTCTGCATCGACAGCGTGCGTGCGCGTCACAGCGTGTCTGTAGTGCCCCACGCGCGTCGCACGTACACGGCACGCACTGGCCCGCTGTGCGCCGGTGCCCCACCGCGCATGCTTCGCACCGCACGCCCGTGTACCCTGCCGACATAGAGCGTTACTGCTACTATCGCCTATCGTCTTTTAAGTCGGGCGTGCACCAAGAGTTTTTGATTATACATTACTCCACAACACCCACATAAAGAATATCCACTACCGTATATCATCCCGTGGGTGTCGTAAGACCGAACGTGCCCGTCGCCGCGTGCCGGTGACACACCACATAGGCTTCGCACTGCGTGCCCGTGTACGCTGCCGGCACAATGCGTTGTAGTGTAGTATAGCTCCCACGACTATATGTATTTGAGTTAAGGTGGAATAAGTTTGTGCAGTATAATTAAAGTTTTAGTACCAACAACACGTCTCTTTCATTTTTTGCTACATTACAGTGTTGCTGCATCGCCTTTTAAGCTAGGCGCGCATAACGAGTTTTTCGCCGCATGGCAAAACCGCTACGTCATTCGTGCTTCAGTATCTTGCCGTGTAGTGGGGGTGTAAGAATATCTGCGTCACCATATCGTCCCTTAGGTGTCGTAACAGGTGACAGGGCGAAACAAAACAGAAAATTGGCGGCCTCTTTTCCTAATTACAATAACTGCAGCTGCCAACGCTTATAGTTTAATCTAGGGTATTCCATATCTGTATTTCACATCTGGTATAAATATAAGCCGGTCTACCTTCATCTGTCGGAAGCTTCGAAATCTTTGTAGACTTCCCGATAGTCGCCGCTTATGTACCCATGAGAAGAAATGGATGATGGTTGCTCTTTACGGTGAAAATCGGCAATTAAGGTACCTAAACATTGAATGAAACTCACCAGGCAAGCATCGACAGCGTAAGCTCCCCCCGACCATGGCACAGGAGCTCGCGAAGTTCCTGTCGCGTGACGGACAGGCACAGGGCTGGCAGCCGGCCGGTGCGTCTGGCGAGCCAAAGTATCCCGGGGCACAGCGTTCGCAGTGCGCACCGTCCGTCCCACCCGTGCAGTTCTATAACAAGAACCAAAACGTTTTGGAAGGGGCGTACATTTAGAAGTCGTTTAATTTACGCGTGTTATTGAAATGTAAGAAAGTGACTTACACTACTTTTACTATTTCCCTAAACCACCAAGTATTGCTTATCACGTTACTTACCACTTACTTATCACTCAATTGTTACATATTTTGATAAATCTGAGGTGAGGGAAGTGCCGTTATAACAGAATGGTGGACTAATTGATACCATAATATAAGTTTCTTAAAATATAATATAAGTTTCTTAAAATATAATTACAATAATATAAGTTTCGTAACCCCTCACCCTAGAAACTTCTTCTGTACCTTGGAAATATTTTACATATTTAAATTACACACAGAAGCATTTTTTTAAATATAACCTGATACGCTTTTCGTAACTTTCAAACTAAAACTAACAATGGAAGCAATGCTGGTTTCGATTGCAGCGATCCAGCAGAAATAGACAAGAAATATTGCATATGTATAGGGTTATGCAGCAACATGTTTGCAGCTTTAAAAAGTGCAGGTTTGGCCTCATATGGAATACTGTTCTCATCTCTGGACCGGGGCACTCCAGTGTCAGCTCCCTTCCACTTCAATCATCGACGATCAAGTTCTTTCCTACGGGCTTTATTTTATATTAATTACAGGAGGTTATCAGTGGGATTTGCGCGGAAACGTTGCGTCTCTATACATCTTCAACCTTATATAGGTCAGATAGTGTTCAGAGGAATTGTTCGTATTTATTGCAGCTGCTGAATTCCACCATTGTATACTGTGACAGAACTAGAAATTCCATCATCATCTCGATGGCTGGCGGTTTACTACCGTGCAAATTTTCTGCCTCGAATGACCGAACTGTTGAATTTACTGTCGCCAGTGGATTTCGCGCACCGATACGAATTAGGAACCTTCTAGAAAAGAGCCTACTCTTTCCTAAAAGGCCGGCAACGCACCTGCACTTTCTTTGGTGTTACGGATGTTCACGAGCGATGGTCTTCACCATATACCATCAACTGAGCCGCATGCTCGTTTGTCTTCTCTACCATAAAAAAGCTTAAACATACTTTTAGGAGGAAGAGATACTTCTAAAAGAAGAAGAGCAGACCCTACAACAATGACCAAGTTTAATCTTTATTCCTTTTAATTAGTATAAGTTTGTTAAAGTTAACTGTTGACTTGGGTCTTTCCCGTTGTGAGGAGAGTTTGTTATAATCATCTGTCACATTGGAAGGCGGATTAACAATTGCAGTACTATAATGGTGTGAGTGTACGTCTGGCATAAATGAGATGGTTACACCGCTATCAATTAATAGATATGTCTGGCATTTCTCAGATAATTATATCTAAAACTATCATTAGTAGATTTAAAATTTTGACATTTTTAAAAGTTCCTGGCCACCGTGACCGGAATATGTTGTTTTTTAATAGAATAAGGGTGACAAACGAGCACACAGTCCTCCTGATGGTAAGTGGTTGCTGTAGCCTACATGTCCATCCTCAATTAAGAATCAAAATGCAGATGCGTTGTCACCCATGGGGAATGCGTAGTTTCCAGTAAAAAGGGTCTCCAGTACTCATCACTCATCAAACGAAACACAGCAGCATTGAGCAGCTATTTCACGCTGGTATTTTATAAGAGTCCTCGTCAAGCTGCCCACTCATGCTATAACTACAATATGGTTGCAGCGTGGCCCTACCACGTTACCAAGCAATAATATTAAAACAATTTACCAAGCAATGTCCAGTGTCAGGGTTGCAGGCGGTGGCGCGTCCGCCGCAGGCGCAGGGCCGCGCGACCGCGTCGACGCTGATGACGATGGTGCCGGTCACACTGCTAGCGCGCGGCTCGCTCGCCGGCAGCCAGAAGCCGGCGGCAGCGCGCTGGCACGACGCGGCCGCATACCCGCGTGGGCACGCGCACCGCTCCACGCCCAGAGCTGGTGCACCGCGGCTCAGCCCCGGCACCGCCGTCTCCAGCGATACCTTCAGCACCCTGACACACAGTTTCTAACATGAATATGTTTTTAAATTTGCTTCCATAGTGTGAGACAATTCAGAAAACTGAGGATATCAAAATTGATCCATAAAAACATAAGACCTATTAGTCTCAGATTAACCTCTTTTTGTTGTCTGAAAGTGAAATGAAATATATTTATATGTTTAAAAAACAATTTTGTTTGACAATGTCATTTTTTAAAACATACCGTTTCTAAAGGAGTTTCGTTTGATTGGAGACGAAACGGCTAATAATAAGAGAGAAAAACCAGTGGTATAACTTACAAAACGTGTACGGGATCCTGATGAGCGGGCGCGCGCGTCGAGACCCGCAGCAGCACGCGCGTGAGACGCTGCAGAACCAGCATAAGGGCAGCACGCGATGCTGTGCCTTGTCCGTAATCATGCCCATGCCCTTGCCCTTGGCCGCGTACACGCCACAGCGACTCGTGAAGCCACACCGCGTGCGAACCGTTCACCGCTGGCACGCGCTGTAACATGCGTAACAGAGTAAGGATGACAAGCGAGCAAATATTCCACCTGATAGTAACTGGATGCTGTGGCACATAGACGTTTACATCTATTCTCGTCTATGAATCAAAATGCGGATGCGTTTTCACCCTAGAGAGAATGCCTTATTTCCAGTAAAAAAAAGCCTCCGATTCTCCACACGCACCATATAATTACTTTTTACGTGGTAGAGCCATGCTGCAGCTATTATGGTTGTAGCACGAATGGGTCGGCTCGACCGGAGAGGAACCACACTCTCACAGAATACCAGTCTAAAACAGCAGCTTAATGCTGCTGTGTTTTGTATGGTGTTTGTAGAGAGCCATCCATATTTGTCCTCAGGAAATGCAACGTATCTGCATTTTAATTATTAATCGAGGGCAGGTGTAGATGTCTGTGGGCCACAACATCCTCTTGCTATCAAGTAGACTATGTGCTCGTTTGTCACCCTTATAAAAAATACGAAACACAGCAGCATTAAGCTACCATTTTAAGGAGCGTGATCCTCCCCCGGTCGATGGTTCTACAACGTATAAACACACATACATATTCAATGAAGGTTTACTACATCAACGAAAGTGTCTTTCGAGCTAAAGCTAAAAGCAAGACTCATTCACTAAATTTTACATGTACATAAGAGGATGTCCGGGCTGCAAGATGTTTAAATAATAGGTTTTTAAAGATCTATAATTGTCGCGCTGTGGCCGAACAACCAAGCTATTGACTAGCTCGAGAGACAACTACAATTTGAACTAATTTTACAATTTATTATAAAAACTGACGTTTATCATTTTGTATCCGTTTCTTCATCAAAACTGGATTAACTTCAAGAACCTCATAAGATAGATTGTGCCTGTATATTTTAATTTTTTTTGTCCAATTAACTAGGGGCGGGTTGCTTCAAATCGTTGATTAGCGTAACATGCGTACGTCAAATAATAACGATTCCGTTAGGTCTTTAACGTTCGTTAGTACAATGCGTTGTTTAATTGCATAATTTAAGAATAAAATTACATTAAACAATGAGTAAATAACCAGTTTTATATTTTTTTATATACGTTAAAACCAATATTTTATGTAAAAATTCTTTTCATAGTTTGAAGATAGCGCTATTTTTAAGATAAACGCGTGTGTCAAATAGATGTGAAGAAGCCACCCTCAATCGTTAAACTTGTTTGCTGTCAATTAAAGCGGTATAGCAGATTTTAAAATAAATAATTTACAAAAAAAATAATTAAGAACGTAGATAAACAAAAAGCTTTACTCTTGTGATCCAGGGATAAAACGGAGGATTATCTTTGTGTGGACTAAACGCAGCCTGGATATTATCTTGATACCGTTAGTTATTTTATGTTACTCACTTCATAATAATCCAAGACAAGATTGCGTCCATACAGCCTGACAAGCGGGAACTTGTCTAGGGAATCGGCTGATAGTTCCTCACCACCCTCTTCTTCGACACTGAACCTTAATGCTCCGCCATACGACATAACGCGGTCACCAAGAAACAACTCTCCGAGCTCCACGTACACTGGTACGGGCGGCCAGGGAACGGCTATTGTTGCTTCTGGGAATCGGGTGTGGACGGCAAGCAGAGAGTCTTGATCCACCTAGAAAAAGAGAAAGAGAATTCTTATTTTTTATTTTTATTTTAAAAACTTTATTGCGTCCCCTTAGAAAAAAAGATACAAAGGGCAGACTTAATGCCCAAAGGCATTCTCTACCAGTCAACCCGTGGAGTGGTGAGAGTTTGTCGTAGGTGTAGCAATTAAAATAAAAAAAAAAAGAGAAACTAAAATTATTACACATTATATGTAAAAAAACAGATTATGATATAATATTGTAAGTAAATATATACACACACATATATATATATATATATATATATATATATATCACTTGTACATTTACATATGTTAACACATATTCATTATAGTATATATAAATACATTTATATGCTAATAAACTTATCTAAACATACATACATACACGTATATGGATATAAATATACATAAATATAAAGTTAATACATACATATAAATACGTCATAATTCTAATGATTCGAGTATTTGTGAGGCGCTTTTCTGATATCATCAGGCAAGGAATTCCTGAGAAGTGCAGCCTGCACAATGAAGGAGTTACCATAGAACCCGGTGAGATGAGTAGGAATATAACTCTTGTTATTCAAGGAAGATCGAAGAACCCTATCATGACAAGAACAGATATATTGAAATCGTTCTTTGAGGTAAGAAGGCGAATATGGATCATTTAGAATTGAAAAAAGAACAAGTAATATTCTGTAGTTACGCCTTTGCCTTGTGGTAAGCCACTAAAGCTGAGATCTACGGAAACAGAATAAAAATATTCTACATCAGAGATACAAATAGTAATATTTACCAAAATTATAAATAAATACAAATAAAATATCTAGAAAATATTTATAAAAATAATAATAGTGTAGTAAAATAACCTTATATCCAAAAAATATGTAAAATTTATCAATCTAATGCAAACAACACACTTACGGGATGGCTATTAGTGAACTGTTTTCAAAATATTAAAAAACTTTCAATAAAATTTTCATTAAAATTTAAAAGTTAACAATATATGAATAAAAAGAGAAAACTATTTGAATAAAAAATAACAAAGGGCAAATACAAGACAAAAGCAGTCGACTACAGACATATTATATATAAAACGATATTTCTTCTGTGGCGGCAGTGCGCCGGTACCAGCTAGTACTATATAGTACGTAAGGGTAATATGTTCATCCGTTTGACCATATAATGGTCACTTTCTTATACCTCAAAACCTATAACCTTGTTTGTATAGATGACTCTCTTTTACGATAGCTCTTCATTAGTCAATCAAATAATAAAAGGTCAAAAGGGCGCTGCTTTATCGACACCTTTTTGACAGTTGACGTAATTAAAAAAAAACATTTTAAGCCGTAAATATAACGAGCTAAAATCGATGTATGTCATATTGCACTAGGCTGTATGGTGATTGAACCATTGTATAGTTCCTGTTATCTAAAAAATAAAGTTGTCAAAATAGAAAACATAACAACGACACACAAATTAAAGAGTATTGTAAGTATAACACAAATACCGAAGAACTTATTGGACAAAATTATTTATCTTACACCGATTATTACAATGTTTACGCATATTATCTAATGAACTTCTTAATAAAAAGTACTTAATTACAGCATTTACACAATACCAAAGTATACAATATAACGTTTACTACAGTACTTAGTTAATGCATTATTAATGCCTGTGAACTGATATTATTACCAAATTAATGTACACAAAAATATTAAATCTATATACCCAAACAAAATTATTTAATTTAATAATAATAAACTAATCTATACTAGGACAAAGAGCTAAAAAGTATAACCATAGATCACTACGTTTATTTAAACAAGAACAGAAATTAATATTAAATTTAAATTGGAAAAGAGTATAAAAATTTAATTTCAATAACAAGGTATAAATAAACCACACCACCTAATGAAAACATTTTGGCCTATACATTATAATAATATATTTAGCAGGTTATTTCTTTACATTGAAGCGACGACACCTCTTAGAATCAACATTTTGTGCTGATGCCCCTACCTGCTTCCGCAGAGCATCTTCACCATGACAATGCATTACAGGAGAGCTTTGTGGGGTCTATTTGGAAGCCAAGCCAGAAGTAACCGGAGAACTTATTGCAGGAAATTTTTCAATAAGAATATCCAACTCTTCCTTCGAGGAGATCTTCGCCCTTTCATCAGTTTGACATAAATTATCCCATGAAGTGTCCATTCTTTTTTTATACCAAAGTGCTTGCGGGCTTTGTTATGTATTGATTGCCTTGTACTTGTAAGAAACTCAGGAACAGAAACATGAGACCCTTTTAAATTTGGTCTTAGCATTCCACACCTCATGCTTTGAGTCTTTGAATTGGATGCGAATTGTCCGTGTGTGACCATCTTTTTAACCCCGATTCGATGGCACCGCTTGATGCTAGCATTTGTCACATGTGTAATATCTAATTTGTTGTGTAAAAGACACAGGATCTCTTTCTCTACATTAACCTCTGCTGTGTCAGGTATGCCATTGAATAGCAGAATTGAGAATTGAGCCTACCAACTCCTTGAATGCGTAAAACTCATCACGTAATTGAATAAGGGTGGAACTAGTTGGTGTAGACGCCGCTTTTGATCTTCTTTCAAATTCTGTCATCTTACGGGTCCAGCATTCTTCAAGCTCCTTCTGTATGTTCTCCACTTCAGTAACACTTGCCATTATATTTACAGTTAGGCAGTTCAGACAAAATGAGATGAAAACTGGGGAATTTGATTGCAATAAAGTATCACTAATGGGAGGTGCAAGTTAGACAAAAATTCTCTAAATGTTCGTATTTTTACACTTCATCCATACAACAACTAATCACTGATTGTTTTTTTTTTTTTGTCATTTTTTTGGGTTCCCCGGGGGTGCCCCCCCCTCTCCTCTCTTTTTTTGGGGTTTTTGGTGTGGGGTGTGAAAAGGGGTTATAAAAAAAAGGTTTTTTATAAATATTTTAAATTAAAATAAAATATAAGAGTTAAACAGTAGTCATTTATTGTACCAACCACCTACCCTCCAAAAAAAAACTTTCTTAATTGTATTTCAAAAACTTCCTTGAGACATTTGTTTTTTTTTGCTTTTTTAAAACGTTACCCTCACACTAGGATTTTCTCCTGTATCGTGGAAGCAGTTTGCAAACATGAATTGCACAAGAAGAAATATCCAGACCCGGATCAATTATTTGTAGGCCTTACAAATACTTGATCCGTGCGAGATTCGAAACCGCGGCTTTCTGCGCCGCAACTCACTGCTAAGCTACGACGCCACGGAGCCATCAATTTGTTAACCCATATAAGGACTTTTCTTAGAGTTAATGTCGATCGCGTGTATCGCCGAGTATGTCGCTCCGTCGTGTCGGAGCGACATACTCGGCTGTACGTTTTTAAGATTCGTCTCCGTTAACCGCTTTGAGGTCCCCCCATTTCACCCGGGCTGATCTATCACAAGCGTGAAGTAATACGCAACGCAACCTCATCGCTGTACTTAAGCTACATACTAGGAAGAGCGCTTCTAAGGCCCGGTGTTCCACTATTTAGGAGTGCGCGCACTTGTCGGTAAGACATACTTGGCCCTAAGTCGAGATCTGTCTCCGTAAGGCTTGAGGTCACTGACACTTAGGTAGATCCTTCTCTGGGACGCGCAACGAGAAGGCCAACAACGCCGTTTTGGTAACGGCTCCCGGTCCATTGTATTGGACCGAGAGGACAACCCGGATAATGGGGGACAGTCTAAGGCCCAAAACCTGCTGGGCTCAAGTAGTTCACGCAGATGACACGTGTCATAGTAAATTTATTATCATCTTCACGTATTATTACTTAATTAACCTCTGTCATACACTACTGTAGCTCATAGAAAGAAGTCTACGACTACGTTGGCACTCATGAAGACTCCTATCAGATTGAAAGTTTACTTTGTATGTAGTTGCCGATGTTTGTGGAGGTTAGTGTCCATTTTTTATAGAATAATGATGTCCAGTCCACCTGATGGTAAGTGGATGTTGCGGCCTATAAAAATTTACATTTATTCTCAATAAAGAATCAAAATGCAGATGCGTTGTCACCCCTGAGATAAGACGAAAGGACTCGTTTCCAGTAAAAACGGTCTTCGGTTCTCTACACTCACCATATGAAAGACAGGAGTATTAAGCTGCTATTTTACGCTGATATTCTGTGAGAGAGTTGTCCTGCCACGGTCGACCGACTCATTCTTGCTACAACCATAATATAACTGCAGCGTGGTTCTACCATACCACGTAAAAACTTGACTCACAGTGGTGATGGAGTCACCCCGCAGCAGAGTGAGGTGTAGCGGAGTAGGTGCGTGCAACGCCGCTCGTGTGACTTCCGCCTGCGTGCACTGCGCGCTGCGGCCGAAGCAGAAACACGCCGTACACCCCGACGGATTGTCCTCCGATAGTCCAAACGTACCTTCTAGGCACGTGTCGCATTTGTCGCCGACTACGTTCTCCTGTAAAGATATAGAGGCTTTAGATATATTCTGGGGTGTAAGGTGGCAGTATAAGAATATCCACTGTCCTATATCGTCCCATGGGTGTCGTAAGTGGCAATAGAGGGAAATTTACCAGGATATTGGCAGCTACGTCTTCTTAATAACACCACCTGTCGAGCACAAATATTATGGTAAATATCCCCCAAATGAGGTAATCTATGGGGAGGCCTATGTTCAGTAGTGCAGTTTATCAGGTTAAATTAATGAATGGTGGTTGAAACTAACTCTCCAATGTAATCAGTATCTAACAGCGTGTACCTCGCTAACTTAACCTCTGGCGGGAAAAGCTTAAAAAACAACTGTTTTTTTATAGAATAAGGGTAACGGAATGAGCACACAGTCAACTTGATGGTAAGTGGATGCTGTGGCCCATGGTCATCTACATATTATCTTCGATTACCAATCAAAATGCAGATGGGTTGTCACCCGTGGGAACTAAGATGAGATGCCTCGTTTCCAGTAAAAAGGGTCGCCAGTTCTCTACACTTACCATAAGGAACACAGCAACATTAAGCTACTATTTTACACTGATATTCTGTGAGAGCGTGGTCTTTCCCCGGTCGAGCTGACCCATTCGTGCTACAACCATAATATAGTTGCAGCGTGACTCTACCACGTAAGACATATAAGAGTCTATATATCATATCTAAAAATGTAAACATAAGTTTTAAGAGATTGGTTATAAGAAGAGTTCATTAGATTGCCATCTCCTTTACGCCGCAAAGGGCTAGTAGATAGCAAGACGTCTTTTTTATAAAGTTAAAGTGATAAATTAACTTTAAGTCCACTTGGTGGTAAGTGGTAACTGCAGCCTGTGGATTTCTTCAACCAACTTCAAACAAAGAAGGTTATAGTTGCGTTGTCACCTCTGAGGACTAAGATGGAATGCCTCATAGCCTTTACTAATACTTACTCTATCTTTTTTTACTCTATTTTTTCTTTAATCTCTTATCATTTGAATTTTTATTTAAAATTGAAGTATAATCTACTTGGTAAAAAAATCAATGTGTTCATGTGTCATGGAGAAATCGGTTAATTAAAAAAAAACACGCGGTAAATATAGAAACACCTTCTTGTTTGAAGTCGTTGGAAACTAAGGAGATTTAAGCTTTTTCGGTTTTCGTGCCACTTAATCACTCGGCCTCTATATATATAGGCAATTTTGTAGACCGCTTAATAGCTATGTCTCCAATGAACTAGTAGCTCTGCACCACAGGAGGCCATATTATAAATAAAGTGTTTAATTACCTAAATCATAATTAAACATTACGTTTTCTAACGACTATTCAAACCATAGCTCAAAATTCTTTTTTAATTATGTCAGAACTGAATCAACCTTTTTTTTGCCTTTTAACTCTGGCGCTCGAATGAATTTTTTTAACAACCTGCCAATCAAATTGTCGTCTGATAAAATTCAAACAAGTTTTCCAGTTTGACACCTACGTTGTTGGGAAGAAACGCAAAAAACGAACGTGTCTGAACTGTCAAAAGTGATATTCACAGCCGTATACGCACTAGATGTGCGATCACGCGGCACGTGATATACCTAACAGGTCTATTCACTACTAATTTATTTTATACTAGTGACACGTCCCGTTTTCGCCTGGGTGGTATCTATTAATGTGGATCATTAAGATTATTTAAGGTACTTATCAATGACAATTTATTTTATGCCTCCAAGTTTTTTGGATAAAATATAGCCTTTTTTATAGAATAGGGTGACAAACGGGCACACATCCCACTCGATGGTAAGTGGATGCTGTGGCCCATAGACATCTACATTTATCCTCAATTAAGAATTAAACTTCAGATGCGTTGTCAGTCCTGAGGACTAGATGGAATGCCTCGTTTGAGATTATTTTTACGGGAAAAAGGGTCTCCGGTTCTCTACACTCACGAAACGAAACACTGCAGCATTACGCTGCTATTTTGTGCTGGCATTCTGTAAAAGCGTGGTCCATCTCAGTTGAGCCAACCCCGTCTGGCTAGAACCAAAATATAGCTGCATGGCTGCGTAGCTCCACCTAGTACAGATTACTCCTTGCATTACGTTCTATCTGTTCATGAAGCTTCATCGCAATCAGTCCGTTCATAAACGGCTAGCTTTTTTTTATTTAACCAATTTTACGGCTCTGGCTAGAGCCCTTTTAAGCCTATCATTTCTTTTGTAATCTTCGTTTTTATATATTTATTCTTCACAATATGCTGATGCGTCCCATAGCGAAGTTTTTAGGAGATTTCGAGGACAGCTCAATCCAGCGGACAGTTGATGAGTTCGTAAGTTCATAAGGCGCCCAAGCGATCAAAATAGCTTGAGGCTTATATCAACATCAAAGCACTTGTTTCGCCGTTTCTCATTGCATTCTCTTAATTCACAAAATCGCATCACCTTTACGAATCAAAATCCACTTCAAACCATTATTCAAGTGACAGAACTGGAGCTACAATCCGTCCATGGCCAAGTTCCCGCCAAAACCTCGGCCAGCTTTTCTTTATCGGCCTTCGAAATTCCACTGCTAGATACTGTAAGGCAGGATTTGCCTTAATCTTGGCTGGCAGATTGACGATCGCAGTGAAGCAACAACGTTTTACGTCTGGCGTAAACGAGATGTTTATATCGTCATCTACCAAGAGCCATAAGATCTTTCTGATATTTACAATAGCCGCATCTTATAACACCCATGGGACAAACTGGGGTGATAGATTCTCTTACATCGCCATTACATGGCTAGTTTTCGGTGTTAACTGTGTAGAAATTATCTTTCTGACCCTGATAACATAAGCCGTAAGTTACCTCTAATCTACCATCGAGGGTAGGTTTAGACAATGTAGAATAAGTTACCAGCATCTGTCTTTCCATCCAATTGTAATGTGGGTATCATCAAGGCAAGAGTGTAATCATTTAAGCTTACTTGGTTTTAGCTGCGGAGGCCACAGAAAAATTGTACGGGTCTCCTACTGGCTAAACGCTTACCGTATTCAATATTAGCGCATGCGAGGGGTCCCGGGATCCCGCTGTTAGTTGCTTAGTTTTTTGTCAATATAAGTCACTGCACTTTAACATGTTTAGCTCCATCACCACTACCACTAGGTGAGATAGTGGCCAAGCATTGGAAACTGGCTAAGAAAAAAAAAGAAAAGTAATAAAAATGTCTTGCGCATTTGTAGTTTATGATTTGTTGATATCGGACTAAGGGCAACGTACCTTACACAGCGTACTCTACCAAGGCAGCGTACCTCACACGGGCAACGTACCTTACACGGGCAACGTCCGTGGTCATCGCAGGGACAGACGCCATCCCGGCAGTGGAGTGTCCCGGCGATAACGCAGCCGCAGAGCCGGCAGCGAGGCCCGAAGTGACCCTCCGCGCACCGCTCACAGTCCCTGCCGCTCCAGCCGGGGCGGCACGCACACTGCCCCGATACTGGGTCACACGTCGCTATAACATAGATTGTGTTATTATTTTAATGCGATACCTGCATGAGAAAACCCGAAGTAAGTGATATAGCCCAATGGATTAGTAAACTAAAGTGGCAATCGGCCAGCCAACAGATGGAGAAGAAAGGTTCTCGAGTGGAAGCCTTATAACGGTAGGCGAAGTAAAGGGCGGCCTCCACAAGACATGGAGGAAATCGATGGATGGATTTGGATCGTGGTTTGTGGCATTCCTAGGGCCTATGTGTAGCAGAGAACTTGTTAAAGGTTGTAATTAAATAATGAATGAATCATACATTCGTATGTACAGTGTTGGCTGTTTCAAACGACTTTACGACTTTTACAACTTTTATTTAAATTGGTTGGTTATTATGAACTTATTTCTTCGAACATGAAGATATACATGTATTTTATGCGTGGTAGAGCCACGCTGCAGCTATATGGTAGTAGCACGAATAGATCGGCTCGACCAGGGAAGGAACACGCTCTCACAGAATACCAGCGTAAAATAGAAGTTTAATACTGCTGTGTTTCGTATGGTGAGTGTAGAATCCGGAGACCCTTTTTACTGGAAATGAGGCATTCCATCTTACTCCTCAGGGGTGAATTTGCTCCCTAGGATTTATATAAATGTAGATGTCTATAGGCCACAGCAATCACTTACCATCAGGTGGACTGTGTGATCGTTTGTCACCCTATTCTATAAAAAATCACCGTGTTGGTATAGTAATGGCAAGCGCGACTGCTGCCATGTTGTCCCGGTATCGAATCTTTCTTCGAGTTAAAAACTCAGTTATTGAGTTTTCCTGAACAAATATTTTCTGAAGAAATATATAATTAGAAGAGTGTGGTTTGCAAGATGATGTTGTGACCAGGATTAAGAAAGGAATGCTTCGGTGGTTTGGTCATGTGGAAAGAATAAATGAGGAAAGAGTGACAAAGAAAATTTATGTTGCAGAAGTGAATGGCAGAGTCGGAAAGGGACGTCCTAGGCGAAAATTTATCGACCAAATTGGCGATTTATTGAAAACGGGCCAAATTAGGAGTACCCTTAACCGACGAGCATGTATGCGTAGGTGTATGGATGTGAAGGAGGCGAGAGAGGTGTGTCAGGATCGTGCCAAATGGAAGTCTGTAGTCTCTGCCTACCCCTCTGGGTGACAGGCGTGAGTGTTTATGTTATGTTATGTTAAATATTTTCATATTTTGAATATGACAGTCATTCACCCCCATGTCTTCGGAAAGCATGTTAAGCCTTTGGTCCTGAACATAATCTTTCTCCAGTCGTGTTTGATTGCCGACCCACCGTACTATGAGATTGAGAGAATAGATTGAGAGAAAAGTGTACCCGTGCTTACGCACACACTCGTGCACTACGGTCCTCTTCTGCGCAGACCGTTTGTTGAGACCAGCCGACGAGATGGGAATTTGGCCTGAGTGATTCATACTATATGAGATGATTATATAACCTATCTATTTAAGACCATGACAACCTCTTGAAATTTCCCTTAATCGACAAACGTGGAACGAGATTACCTCATACCATTTTATTCTGAGGGAATTATTATTGTATCATGTTCTTGAGCTACTCCTTTCTCCCTTTTTTTAAGAAGCGATAAAGGAACCTACTTTCTAACTGATGGTAAGTGGTTACGACAGTCCATGGACAGCTTCAATCAACTTCAAACAACGCAGCCTACAGGTGCTCTATCACAACATCATCTCAGGAACAATAAGGTCGAATGCCTAAACGTCGGTAATGCACAAGCTCTTTAATACCATTCAATAACAGGAACATGGAAGCACACGCACTGTTCTTTGACTTGAGCTGAAATAGGTAAGAGGTACTTATTTACACAGGTGGGCTTCTAAACTGAAAAGGAAAGCTAGCTCTTAGTTGCTTGGTCCCTTTATCGAAACGGATGTGTTTGCTTACACGATAGGGCTCCAGGTCCACAAGTACAGGGCAAACAGCCGTGTGCCCGGCCCCAAAAGCCGCGTGCACACTGAGAGCAGCCCGGCCCGCGAGTCCGCGCCGGACACACGCACCGACCGTTTGCTGTGGAGCACACCTTGCCGTCGCTGCACTCCGGACAGGCTGTCGGAATAAAAAAATAGCATACTATTTCTAAAATAATTAATTCAAATAAGAGTACAATATTATTGTAAAGAATGTCATGGAATTGCTATAGTAAAATGGTTATAATATTTTAGTAATAGCATCTAGAAAGAAAAATCCAGGTCCTTTATATCCTGGTATACACTTTTTTATTTGAATAAAAGGACCGGGGAAAGTACACGCTTTCACAAAATACCAGAGTGTGAGAACCGGAGAAGCTTTTTTCTGGAAACGAGGCATTTCATCTTAGTCCACAAGCGTGTCAACGTATCTGCATTTGGATTCTTAATCGAGGATAGACGTAGATTTCTATGGGCCATAGCATCCACTTACCATCAGGTGGATTGTTTGCTCGTTTGTCATCCTTATTCTATAAAAAAGTCAAATTGTATCCCCCGATTTTGTTTTCATCAGTTTTCTGAATTGCCTCCAATTATGGAAGCAAATATAAATGCAATCAATCAATCAATCAAAAATCAATATAAAGGCAATCATGTCGAAAATATTCTGTTCTAGTCAAAAGTACTTACGCAGGCATCCTGCGGGTCCGAACCCGTAGTACCCGGGCAGGCAGCGGTCACATCGCGCGCCTCCAACTCCCAGTGCGCACGCGCACGCGCCCGTCGTCGGCTCGCACGCTGCCGCCCCCGCGCCGCACTCGCATCGCCGACACCCGCCGTGATACAGCCCCCAGTAGCCTTCCTGCGATAAAACCACCATTGAACGAAACACTTGAACAATGATTTCTTATACTAACGCGAATAATACACATTAAATGAAACTAATTTTACGGATTTTATCGCGTTTAATTTAAATTTTTTATCCCGACGTTTCGGTACCTTCAATTTTTGAATAATAATTTTTGATCCAATCTACGCAAAACGAGCTTACAGTATCTTGAAGTCGTGTAGTGTTATGTTTGGATTCGGATTTAATTTTATCAATTATAAGATCCCAAGCAGATTAGACTTGTTTCATTAAACAAAGTATTCAGAGTCTTATACTAGTATAAATACTATAAGGCTCTGCGGCCTTAATACCTTGCGCACTAAGTCCGGCCACATACATGCGGAATTCTGTTTCGAGATTCCGTTTCGGAATTCCAAAACGGAACTAACGGTCAGCCACACACACACGGAATTCCGTTTTGTCCACAAAATTTCGAACGGAAAAATACCGTAGGTGTGTGACGGGTCATTGATTTTATATGGACTTGCTACGTTCGGAATACGCCACATAAGTTACGCCACAGAATAAATAATAGTACTACGTAGTTACGGTCAATTCTCTGTAACTTCTTTAGTCAACTGCGAGCGGTCAAAAAGACTAGTTTTCTTTGTTTTGAAAAACGCAATTAATATACACAAATTTTGTTTAATGTGACTAAGAAACCGCTGTCATTATATATTTATTGTCAGTGCGCACGTTTTCAACAAGATTTAAAGTTTAGTTTAGATAAATATGTAACTTTATTTCGATTTGCCAAAAAACAATAACTGTCGTAAATGAAAATACAACTGTGTGGCATATTTGCCAACTACCCGTCCAGTTAGCGCTCGCGCGATCCACAGATGTGACAAAGTCTTTGCATTAAACAGTAGGAGCAAGGCCCAAGCATAAGCATTGATCTACATCTGTGAAGACTTCCCGGATCACCCTTCGCTTCTTATTTCTAGCAAACTTGACTCAAAATACAGTTGTCCATGGACTACAGTAGCCACTTACCATCAGATGGACAGTGAGTTCGTTTATCACTTAATTTTTTTTTTAATTTTTGTAGACTTGATATATCGTGTGATGTACATTGCCACAGTCACTTGAAAGGAAGTCTAAACTGGAAATTTAAAAGCTTGGTGTGCCCAGTAGATCTAACGGCATTTCATGACCATTTACAGTTCGCAGCATACACATAGGTCAGCCTCATATGTAATATTGTTGTCATCTCTGGCCCGAGGTACCTCAGTACCAGCTCCTTCCCGCATTCAACGGAGAGCATCCCAAATCGTCGATGATAAAGGCTTCCCCGAATGGATTGATTCACCGACTTTGAAACTCTCTGCATCCTATATATCTTTTTCTGTCTCTCTGGCGCGTACACATGAAACGTTGCATTCTTGTGCATCTACTATCGTTTATTCCATAGAGAGAGCTCAGAGTGATCGTTCGGATTAATTCTAGCTGTTGAACTTCATAATTCTACAGTGCGACAAAACTCGAAATTCCATCACATCATATCGATTGTTGGCATTCCACATTCGTGCGTTTTACAGAGAATTTACTGCTTCTGCCACATTGTGAAATGTATGATACCACTTAAGGACCTTCAAGAAAGAGCCTACTCCTTTCTAAAAGGACTGCTACGCAATTGCTATTATTTTTGTTTTTGCTTTTGCAATGCAATTGCTTTGGTGTTTCGGACCTTAATTGGTGACGGAGTTGACTTATCATCATGTGAGTGGTATGAGTTTTTGCGTCCTCTTCTATAAAAAACAATTCAATTAAGGTTGAGATGAAAACAAAAACCACTACTAGTACAATTTAAAACGAAACACTGAAATCATTAGTTTGAATTCTTAAATTAATTAATCTGTCCATCGCTGTAAGTATTTGAATTTCTTCCCGTATCAAGCAGATTTTATTAAAGTAAATAAAAGGTAACTGTGAATATTTAACACACAATTTGAATCAATTCACAACACAGTCCAGTCGCAGTTGCAGTGTCATCAAAGGTCTTATATAGTCACTATAGTGTGTCCTACACCACCTACCGCACGCGGCGATCGATCTTAGTTGCTGTCACGATGCATTACGTGAAGTGTAATTCATATCCATTTGTTTGTTTGCTGAAGAAGAAACATTTTAAATGAAATGAATGTGCCATATCCTTAACCTTAAGGTAAAATTTTTGTTAATTTGAGTACTTTTCTATATCTGATTTATTTCGTAAATAGATTAACTGTAACCAACCAACCGACTTCAAAAAAGGAGGTTCTCAATTCGTCGGAATATTTTTTTTATATATGTTCACCGATTACTCGAAGACGCCCGGACCGATATGGAAAATTCTTTTTTGTTTCAAGGGGTCTCCAGGTGGTCACATATTAATTTTATCGAAATCGGCTGAACGGTTTTTAAAAATTAAAAAATAAATTGTTTATATTGAAGTCGGTTGTAATTTTTTTTTAATTTACCACGTTTTCTTTGTTCAACGGTTTTTCCTTCCATATATATTTGTTTCCTATATACCTTTCATATATATTATATAGATTTAAATTCCATATATATAATATAAGAGAACACGAACATATGTTCTCTTCGGTAGGGAACATTATTTCGTTCGTGCAAAGAAAAAGGTCTTGGGCAACTTCTCAGAAATGTCTAGTTGACATTTTCCCGGTTATAAAGCACGACGCGGTTGTAACGGTCCGCGGGATTTACGGCGGCTCCATGTAATTGTAGCGATAATTGGCAAAGGCCTTTCCCGCCCAGTATTACGCGCCATTTTGAATTGTATTAGAGATAACTCGCAACACCATTTTCAACGCACTTAAATTAGGCGAATCAGGTAAATTAAATGTCAGAAGTTACAGGCGTAACGATCAACAAAGTACGAGAATAATGTGGATTTATTAATATTAGACGAAAAACCATTCGCCGCTGGTCACTTTTGATTGTAGTAGTAGTAGTATATACTTTATTGTACACCACACAATAAATACATTACAGAGAAAACTTAATATATACTAAGTATGTACAATAAGGCGGTCTTATCGCTAAAGAGCGATCTCTTCCAGACAACCTTTGGGCTAAGGAGAAACTAGAATTAAGAACAGTAGGAGGTGGTGCGTTTTATGTTACATTGATTGTTTCTATATATTGCGTTTTTGATCCTCGGTGTACTTAGTTTCAATAATTTGTTTCCTTTACTTACTCCCCGGTATATTTTGATTTCTTTTATAAGATGTGGGTGACAAACGAGCACACAGTCCATCTGATGGTAAGTGGATGCTGTAGCCCATAGATATCTACATTTATTCTCGATTAGGAATTAAAATGCAGATGCGTTGCTAGCCTTGAAGACTAAGATGAAATTCCTCGTTTCCAGTAATAAGGGTCTTCGGTTCTCTACACTCACCGTACGAAACACTGCAGTATCGAACTGCTGTTTTAAGCTGGTGTTCTGTGATTATTCATCTTCATCAGTTGGACACGGAAATCTCCCATTTTAACACTTAGTGTCCCTAGCACTACAGGTTCTGACTCTTGACCAAAGACTTATAGATTTGTTTTATAAAACTTAAGTTTTAAAAGAACTTATAATTCTAGTAAATGTGACTATACACACACCTACAGCCAACTTCGAGCAAGGAAGGCTATGAATTCGTTGTTACCTCTGACGACTAATATGGAATGACTCACAGCATTTAATACTGGCTCTCTGTACCTTTCAGATCAGAAAACAGCAGATTATGCACTGCTATCCAGCGGCAGTAACAGTTAAGAAGGTTGTACCTAGTTCACTTCTGGTTACGTATAAATTGAACGATTCTTTCAATCAAAAGGTTGAACATTGTGTTACTTTAGTTTGTGTTTCTTCTTTTTGTTCACCCTTACAGCCTGTAAAAGGCTCTGCCGGACATAGTTGTCTCCAATTTTAGGGAGATACAGAAATGAAAATTCTGTATTTTCGACGTATGAAATAAAAATTTCGTTTATTAAACGTCAACATGTTTTATAATCTAGTACCGTTTCAAAATGAGGCTCCTCTGTCCGCAGAAGAAACAGCGAAAGAAACTCCACAGGTCTTTCGGATTGCCTTAATCTTTCAGTTAAGTTTGTGTTTCATCATCATTACAGCCCTTTACAACTCCACTGCTCAACGTAGGCTTTCTCTAAGAAATGTCACAAAGCAACACCTATTAAACATAACTACCAGCTGGCTTCGCCTGGATCTATCAATGTAGCGTCATTTAGATGTAAGATAATCATCACACAAATTTGTGATTACCGCTACAGCCTATTAAAGTCCGCCGGTAAACGTAGACTCCATGCATAAATTGCATCATGGTGGTGGGGGGGGGGAGGATTTACCACAGTTTTCACGCTTTGCAAGCTGGTTGGCTTAATTTTACTTGTAATTAGGAAGACGCTGCTGCCAAACTCCTGAGTTGTTACCCTCTGTCGTCTGCCGCCTCCTAAGACACCCACGGGATGATGTGGGTAGTGAATATTCTTACACCACTACATGGTCTAGTTTGTGTTTATGCAGTTTCGTATAATTTCAAATATATAAGTTCAAAAGTTCAAGAAGACTTATTATCGTTCAATGCATTTTGCCCTAAACAATGAGTTCTTAGTTATAGTTACGCTAATGTCTAGTTGATTTACGTAAATAGGTTGCACTGATTTGTAAGGCAGCGTTGCATTTTACACGGTGCCGTCTGACGCATTTTGCTATTTAACAAGAATGATGAATACGAATTATGATGCTTAGAGCCTTATTGGGTTAGCCTTGGGTTTATATTAGTTACTTTTGATGAAGAAATGAAGAATAATAAAAAGATAATAATACATATTGAGGAAGTTAATGTAGTAAAACGGTTTTAGACAGACAATTTACTAATTATAAGAGTATATGTTTTTATTAATTAAATTTAAAACATTAAATTTTTATGTGGTAATGAATCGGTGGGCCCAAACGGGAAAGGACCACGTTCTCACAAAATAAAACATAACATAACATAAACACTCACGCCTGTCACCCAGAGGGGTAGGCAGAGACTACGGACTTCCATTTGGCACGATCCTGAGATACCTCTTTCGCCTCCTTTACATCCATATATCTACGCATACATGCTCGTCGGTTAAGGGTACTTCTAACGTGGCCCCTTTTTCAAAATATCGCCAATTTGGTCGATAAAGTTTTTTCTAGGGCGTCCCTTCCCGACTCGGCCGTTCACATCTGCCACATAAATTTGCTTTGTCACTCTTTCCTCATTCATTCTTTCTACATGACCAAACCACCGAAGCATTCCTTTCCTAATCCTGGTCACAACATCATCTTGAATACCACTTTTATCTCTTATCACGAAATTTCTCACCCTGTCATTCAGATTAAACCCTAGCATACTCCTTAACCCTTTAATTCGTAAAGTTGAGAATACTCAACATTCGAAATAAATAAATCCTGTATGAAAACTTGAACGCGTAGAAAAAATATTTTTACTTTGAAAAAAAGGTGAAACGAAACGCAACTCGTAAAAAAAAAGTTGTGTGTCACAAACGTCAGATTTTGACAGTGGCGGCAAAATGGCATCACGTTCATCTGCACCGTTTGGACCTAAGGTAAATAAAATTTATTATTAGCAATTTAAATCATATTGATACCTATTATTGCCTTGCATTTCAATTTTAAATTATTATTTTATGCACGTAATGAAAAAAAGCCTGAAAATATTGTGGTTTAGTATGTGTTTGATGGTTTTCAAGTTGAATGTTGAATATACTCAACAATGCGAATGTTACTATTATTCACCTGATTTTTTCTATGTTGAGTATTTTCAACATTGCGAAATGCTTTAGGTTTTGTCCTATAACTTAACATGATGAGTATATTCAACATTGCGCGTGTACTAACATTTATTCCCCTCTTATCTGAGACCCTATTATTGTTCATTTTTCGCTTTGGTTTTGGATGCCCTACGTTTTTTGTGTTATTTTGCTTCACAAAATGCTTAAATGGCAACGCACGCAAAAAATTATGGCGCTTGTACCTCCCGCAAAAGCACCCTCCGATGACAGCAGCACATCTGAAGATGAAGTTATAATCAATAATTACACAAAACCGAAAAAACAACAATCATCTGACTCAGAACACAACTACGAATCATCTGAACCACGTTCTTATCCCTCTGAAATTGATGACTTAAGCTTAGATTCACATTCCGAAGATGAGATTCCTGCGACGCCATCACCTAGGCCACTACAGCTACAAAATGAAAGCAAGTCATACTTACCCAATTCCAAAGAAAATTCTCGTCCGACGACGCCTCCATCGCCAACTCCGCCTCAACAAAATGATTGCAACATACCTGAAGTACCATGTTCTGAAGTCCAAACTCCGATTTCGTCTGCGTCGATGCCACAAGATATAATGAATGATTCCATACTCCACATACCAACAATTCCCTTGTCTCCTTTAATTAACCAAATGTTTTCACCAGGCCCGTCAAATCAGCCGCTCCCATTCACACTGAATTCGGTCTCATCAGTATTATCACCTAACATGTCTCCAGCAGCACCTAATACACGTTTAAAGCGACGACAGAACACAAAACCTAAACACCCAGCGGCAAAAAAAGTAAAGAAGTTTGTAAGAAAACCTCTATCATTCAAATTCAGAGCAGGAAAACTACAGTACGCAGCTATATTTGAACCACCGAAACACGATTTCTCACCCGATCCACATCATTCAATCTTAGATTATTTCACAGACTTTTTTTCAAATGACATATTCGAATTAATAGTAGAACAGACAAACTTATATTCAGTTCAAACCGATTCGAGATCTATAAATATAACAAACGATGATGTGAAAGATTTCATAGCGATTACACTCATTATGGGGGTAGTGAAAATGCCCTCTTACAGAGATTATTGGAGTCGATTTTTGCGATATCCAGCTGTCGCTGATATCATGCCTTTAAAAAAGTATGAGAAAATAAGGAAATATTTACATTTCGCCGACAACAGCAACATTAACGACGACCGTTACTACAAAGTTCGACCAATTATTGAAAAAATTAGGCTTAATTGCTTAAAAATGAAGGAGGAACAACGCTACAGCGTCGACGAAATGATGGTCCCATACAAAGGGACAAGAGCGGGAAGTAGGCGCCAATATCTACCTAAAAAACCAAAAAAATGGGGGATGAAGTTATTCGTTCGAGCAGGCGTCTCTGGTTTAGTGTATGATTTCATTCCTTATGGTGGAGAAGACACGTTTAGAAATCATTCTTTTACTGAATACGAGGAGAGCCTCGGTCTTGGAGCAAAAGTTGTGCTAGCACTTTGCAAGACCATTGAGGATAAACCTGCAGTCGTATATTTTGACAATTTCTTTACGTCATTGGAGCTAATTCACCATTTGCTTCAAGAATACGGTATTTTTAGTCTTGGTACCATAAAAAGTAATCGTTTGAGAGGTTGTCAAAATAAACTACTAGCAGATAAAGTTCTCGCAAAAAAAGGACGGGGTGCAAGCTCCCAGATCGTCTGCAATGACACGAAACTTGCTGTTGTCAGATGGTATGACAATAAGCCGGTGACATTGGCTAGTTCATTCGTCGATTCCCATCCAATGGGAAAGATTCAAAGGTATTCCAAAGATACAGAATCTAGGGTGGAGGTCAATTGTCCTCAGATTGTGAAGCAATATAATGCCCATATGGGGGGCGTAGACTTGACGGACATGCTTATCGCTCTATACCGTTCAAACTTTAAAACTAAGAGGTGGTACATGACCATGTTTTCACAATCTCTGGATATTTGCGTCAACAATGCTTGGTTATTACATAGGAGAGATCATGCTGATCCTAAAGACCGTTTACCTCTCAAAAAATTTCGGATACAGATAGTATCTGAGCTTTTACATAAAAACAGAACGAGGGTGACAGTGAGTCAGGAAAACGATCCTCCTAAAAAAATAATTACTCCAGCTGCTCCAAGACCGACTGATGCTGTACGATATGACAACAATGGACATTTACCCATGTTTGTGTCGTATGGACGGTGCAAATACTGTAAAAATGGGTACACAAATATTACTTGCTCAAAATGTATCCTCAGGCTGTGTCTAGTTAGTAAGAGAAACTGTTTTTATAATTACCATGTTAAGTAATAATATGTGAATTTGATTTTTTCTACTAAGGCTGTGTCTAGCCAACTTATTCTATGATTAATTAATAAGAAATAAAACTTTATTTGATTTTCTCTATAGTTTGTTCTTTTATTTTAATATATTAGTAAACTACCTTTACAAGGGCAATGTTGAAAATACTCAACGCTCAATTTATTAGGTAATGTTCCAATATGTCGCGCAATGTTGAGTATTTTTAACATACGATATTTGATAAAGTATACAATAATAATAATAATTTCTATTTTTTTTGGCTATAATTAGTCAACATTAATGCAATTAAACAGAAAAAAACATGTTTACATAACTTTTATTTTTCTGCGCATTAAAGGGTTAAAGACCGCGGTCTTTAAGGTCTTCTCACAAAATACCAGCGTAAATAGCAGCTCATGCTGCTGTGTTTCGTATGGTGAGTGTAGAGAAGCGGAGACGGAGACTCTTTTTACTGGAAGCGAGAAATTCCATCTTGGTCCTCAGGTGGACTGTGTGATCGTTTTTCACCATTATTCTTTTAAAGCATATATTCTAGTTCATATAATTACGATAAATTCTCTGTGGCTGTGACACAGTCGTAGATAGCAATTAGCACTAGCTAAAAATAGCCTATTCTCCTATCTACCTATCTATATCACTGTCGTCTCTTGAACACTAAGTCTATAGACCGTACTTTGACTTTGCTCAGACTTTACTTACGAAAAACATAGCAGAGACTACATGCTTAGCATAATCTTTGTTTCCGAATCTATATACAACTTTATAGTTTATAAGCTAAGCTTATAAAATTCCAAAAATTTGAATTTAAAAATTGAAAACGATTCAAATTTTATTTCATAAATAAGTTATTTTTAAATGTACCTAACAAAATTTTTGTTTCAAAAATGTGAAAGAAACACAAACGCACGCACGCACGCACGCACGCACGCACGCACGCACGCGCACGAACGCACGCACGCACGCACGCACACACACACACACACACACACACCACACACACACACACACACACACACACACACACACACACACACAAGAAATACAATGCGTTATTTCAATGTTTTTACATGAGAGAGCTACGCCGCAGCTGTATTATGCGTTTAGCACAAAAGGGTCAGCGCAAACGATGAAAGACCGAACAGCATAATGTTGCTGTGAATAAAATAAATAAACGAGCGCTCAGTCCATCTAATGGTAAGCGTGGTCCATAGACATCTACATATTTCCTTGATTAAGAACCAAAATGCAGATGCGTATTCAACCCTGAGGATTAATATGAAATGTCACGATTCCAGTAAAAGAGGGCTTTACTGGTTTTGAGGTACTTATTTTACCTTAGTTCTCAATGGTAACATTTTCATTCGCGATGTCTGTGGACTAAAGCATTAACTAAACATCAAGTGGTATGCTAACCTTGTATAAGAAAATAGATATTTTTCTAAATATGGTTGGTGGTTTGTCTGAATTCAACAAAATGACAAAAATTTACTTTAAATTGTTGGTCATCAAAAAATTTCGTCTGAAGTCAGTTTTGTACGTAGTAGAGCCATGCTGCAGCTATATTATGGTTGTAGCACGAGTGGGTCATCTTGATCGTTTAAGTACGGTGGTGAAGAAAGTGTTTTGTATAGTGAGTGTACGAGACATTTCTTATAGTCCTCAGGGGTAGCAACGCATCTGTTTTTTGATTCTTTGTCAAGGATAGTTATATGTTCGTATACCTTATAGTATAAAAGAAGTGAGTTACCTCGCACGTGTCGCAGGCACGGCCGGTAACGTGGGGCTTGCAGCGACATTGTCCGGTGCGTATGTCGCAGGCGTTGCTCTCTGACCCCAACGCTGAACAGTTGCAACCTAGAACAAGTAAATAAGATATTGTTAGTTGTGTTCCGTAGTTCCTCTCCATCACCACCTAAGGCTATTGTTTATATACCTACCCCATTGTAAGAAACAGAAACAGAAATTTTTTTGAACAAAGATTATAAATAATACTCGTTATTCAAAGTTGGTTTTTACCACTATCCTCACTTTTGTTTGCGCGCACTGTATCTCTTGCTTATATCTCCCGCTCAACTCCCGTTCGACTCGCCCGATCACAATTTTCGTAACTCTTTCGTCACGCGTTCGCCAACTTACTTCCCAAGTCAAACGTGCGTAAAGAAGTTTTACTTCAAAACCGTTATTTAATTTAACATTGTCATTAAAACAATTTGCAGGGCATCATTTACTGACTTCCATTACAGTTCATAAAAGTTCACGGCTTAACAAAGGCCTTCTCCATAGCGTCATAGGATTTTGCAACAGTCGCCACGGCGGACGGGTTAATAACCTCAGTTTTTTATAATTTTGAGTTGTTATCAGGAAGATGTTGCTGCCCACTATCTGTTTCAGTTTAGATCTGTTTCAGGACGATAAGGAGTAGAGGATATTACACCGCCGCTACATGGCGCTACATGGTTATTTTACTGTCTTAATTGATGCTATTTTAGGATAGTGACCAAAATATCAGGCAAACCGACCTGTGAATCTTTAACAAGTAGGTCAATTAGCTTACGACACCGCACATTTCGTTTTCTACTCTTTGCGTGTACAAATGAAGCATAATTAATGATGCAATGAAAAGCAAACGCCTGCTCGGGAGAGCTCGTGATCAACTTTGTACAGAGTTGTGGTTAGTTTATGGTTAGCTACGCACCCGGTTTTCGCCTTGATAATCATGAATGATCATTTATTATATTAATTTTTCAATTTACTAAAAAGATCCAAATCTTCTATTAAAATATAGCCTAGATCTCTCATGGCATTGCTCTCGAACAAAAGGTTCAGGCATTCCGATTTACTTCCGATTACGACTGAAGATACAAACTGAAAAAACTTTTTAAAAATGGTTATTCATACCTAATAGCATGCACATAACCACTTGAGCTTAAAATAAGCCACTTATTTTTATAACAGAATATTCCTTTTTTTTTGTTTGTATAAATGTATATTCAAAGAAGCCGTAGATGTAAAGAAATATTTAGACAATTTGTTAAGTGCTCTAATTCACACCGCCCAATTTTTGCTGCACAACCGTATGCTGGCAGGAACCCAGTGGATGCAGGTGGCTCAAGACCGCGCTATGTGGCTTTCCTTGGGGTAGGCCTATTTTCAGCAGTGGACTTGTCATCATCATCATTACAGCCCTTCATCAAGTTCACTCGTGAAGGACTGTAATGACGACAATAATAAATAAAGATAATGTTCTCCAGACCGAATTTCAGTCACGGTCTCAGTCTCACCAGAGACTAGCTATCTGCACAGGACAGAATTATAATGCTCATATCAATAAACCACGTTTTGTTTAATTTATAACATACATTAAAAATAGTACCTAGATGACCGAGCTTTGCTCGGTTGTGTTTTTTTGAAATTACATTTAGATACAAATTACGTACTGATGAAATATCTTATTGACATAATAGAAAAAACTGAACTGGTTATTTGAATAAAAAATCATGAGTGTGATTAGTTTTATTAAAATTTTCATGTTTTTAAAAAATACAAAAAAGGGCTTGAAATAATAAATTTTATCACAAAAGAAGGGAACTTGAAAAAAAAATAGGAAAAAAAAATCGGACCGAAGACAGGACGCGAACCAAGGCATGATGGTTTTGCGACCGCTCGATATCCACTTGAGCTATTATGATAAACACAGTGTCAAAATTTACCTTCTTATATTGTGCAGTTTTTCATTGCCTGAAAACACGGACAAAAAGACTTTCTAAAAATAAATCCTAGCTAGATCGATTTATTGCCCCCGAAACTCCCTGGACACAAAATTTTATGAAAATCGTTGGAGCCGTTTCCGAGATCCCGATTATATATATACGAGTATATACAAGAATTGCTCGTTTAAAGATATAGGATATACAAACAAGTAGCGAATGGATTAAGCATGTCAAACGTAATCTAGTTTAGCGAGCTGAGTTATCTCTCGATACAGCAGTTAGCAAAACTAAAGCAACAGATAACCTTATCTCATCGTTAATGTAGCTACGAACAGTCTCTGCGCGATTACATACTAATTTCGCGATTAATGAACCAGTAGCAATTCACTCGATGTAGTATGATAATTATTCAATTATTTCCCAATCAAATTATTACAAATATTGCCATGCAGTGTCAGTGGCGGTGTAAATATTTCATCCCGTGTGTCGTAGTGGCGGAAATGTAACGAATAGGCAGCAGCGTTTTCTTGCGACTCGATTATGAACAAACTGCGGTTGCCAACTTGCTTGACAAGCGTGGCAACTATGGCAAATATCTCTCATATGGGGGAATCTATAGGGAAGGCCTATGCCCTTTAATAGGCTGTGACGGTAACGGTATCCTGAATGTGTCGTAATAGGCGTCAGAGGGAATGAAACAGGAGATGAGCAGAAGCACCTTGCTTATAAAAACTATTTAATTTAAAGAAAAGCTTACACCTGATATACAAAAATAATACGACTATAACAAAAAGTAGCTATATTTTTTCCAGTAGTTCAGGAGAATTAATGTTTCCGTTCACAATTATTTTAAAGAGAGATCTGAAATATCACTTCGCTCATATAAAGAACGTATGTGAATTTTTTTACATCGTAGAGTGTAGCTGGTACTTTTTGGATTTAAATTGAAAAAAAAAAAACGCAAAAATATTTTTGTATGCGCTCTATGCTACCAACATACATATAATATTTCAAATTTCGAAAGCATATTCCAAATGGCTGCGTACGAAAGCGCAATATACAATTTTGATAGTTTTTATACTTTTATAATCAGCTTTTTACGTGGTAGAGCAATGCTGCAGCTATATTACTGGTATAGTTGTAGCACGAATGGGTCGGCTCGACCGGGGAAGAACCACGCTCTCAGCCATACCAGCGTATGATAGCAGCTAAACGCTCCTGTGTTTCGTATGGTGAGTGTAGAGAACCGGAGACACTTTTTACTAGAAACGAGGCAATCCATCTTAGTTCTCACGCGTGACAACGCTTCAGCATTTTAATTCGTAATCGAGGATAGATGTAGTTCTCTATGGACCGCGGTAACCCCTGAAGACTAAGGTGGAATGCCTCGTTTTCAGTAAAAAAGGGTCTCCGGTTTTCTATACTCACCATACGAATCATAGCAGCATGAAGCTGTTATTTTACGCTGGCATTCTGTGAGAGCGTGGCCCCACTCCGGTCGAGCCGACCTATTCGTGCTACAACCATAATGTAGCTGCAGTGTGGCTCTACCACCTATTTCTGCCTCAAAATAGCAGTACCTGCATAGCTGTGTTCCTGTTTAAAAAGTAAAGAGGCCAGTATGATCACAGGTTATGAAGCATTCCATTTTGGTATTGAGAAATTGCAACGGTTCCGTAGCTTCCCTTGCTTAAAATTGGTTGCAAATGTGCATTGAGTGTGGTAGACACTCACCATCAGATGGATTACAAATTCACTTCAGATTCACAAAAAAAGTTATCTAATATTGAAATACGCACGTGACTATGGTTGAGCCTAAAAGGAGCATAATATATGATTGGGTGCGTTTGGCAGAAAAAAGCGCTAGCAAGCGCTTGTAAGCAAAATGGCGATCGTAAGCGGTAAGCGCTGTCAAATCGTAAGTAGCTATTTTCCTCTAGGACACGAAGTCACTTTTAATCGGGGAACCTAACCTAATTTCAATATATGTTTGTAAAGTATTCATATTAAAAACTTACCAATCATGAATTTTTAATAACATCTATATGTCTGTTCATGTCATTATATTACTTAAAACTAATATTGCACAAAAAAACTTATGAACTCTACTTCAAAACAAACAAATTAAATAAGGAAAATGGCGGATTGTGTCAGCGCTACTGAAGTAGCAATCGTGTCCTGGCAGAAAACTATTTTAGCGCTTGTAAGCGCTTGCTAGCGCTTTTTTCTGCCAAACGCACCCAATGTATTTATATTCATCATCATCATCATCATCATTACAGCCCTTCACAAGTCCACTGCTGAACATAGGTCTCCACCAAGTAATGCCACAAAGCACGGTCCTGAGCCACCTGCATCCATCGACTTCCTGCATGTCTTACCAGGTCGTCACTCCATCTAGTGGGGGGTCGCCCTACACTACGCCTACCGGTACGAGGCTGCCACTCGAGAACCTTTCTTCCCCATCGGTTATCGGTTCTTCGAGCTATATGGCCGGCCCATTGCCACTTCAGCTTACTAATCCGTTGGGCTATGTCGGTCACTCTGGTTTTACTGCGGATATCCTCATTTCTGAGTCTATCACGCAGAGAAACTCCGAGCATAGCCCTCTCCATAGCTCGCTGATCGACCTTAAGCGTCCTCATACGGCCAGCAGTGAAGGACCACGTCTCAGATCCGTAGGTCATCACTGGCAACACGCACTGGTTGTACAATCTAGTTTTTAGAGATTGAGGTATACCTGACGAAAAGATATGCCGTAATTTCCCGAACGCTGCCCAGCCGAGTTGAATCCGTCGATTGACCTCTCGGTCGAAGTTGGACTTACCTAGTCGGACTATTTGTCCCAGGTAAACGTATTCGTCAACAACTTCGAGCATAGTGCTCCCAACAACTATTGGCATAGGTGTGACATAGACATTGAACATGATCTTTGTTTTGTCCATGTTCATCTTAAGACCTATCCGTTGGGAGGCACTATTGAGGTCATTGAGAATAGTGCTTAAGTCCTCCAGCGATTCTGCCATAAGGACTATATCGTCGGCAAATCGAAGGTGAGTGATGTACTCGCCATTGATGTCAATACCGTATCCTTTCCAGTCCAGTAGCTTGAAAACGTCTTCCAATGCAGCGGTGAAGAGTTTCGGGGATATAACGTCACCCTGTCTTACACCTCTCTGCAGTTGGATAGGTTTCG